AGTAGATAGTTGTATGTCATAGGTTCACATCCTTCTAGTTGCTGTACGTGGGACTCGGCCTCACGTTGGACGGAGAAGTGGTGCCTCGGGGCGCGCCCGGGATCCGAACCCGGGCCGCCAGCATCAGAGCGCGCGCACTTAACCGCTAAGCCACGGAGCCGGCCCGAAATCATGTTTTTAATGCTGAGTTAATGGAAAATGCTCATATATAAGTGGAAAAGGAACATTATAGAGCAATATATTCAGTATGATCCCAATTTTAATAAAAAGAAAGAAGTAGGAAGAAGGAGCTTAGGAAAATGACAAGAAAAAAATACCAAAATATTCAAAATGGTTATGTTTTAATGACAGAATTTGGGTAACTAGTTATTCTTTTTTATTTTTTGGGTCTTTCAGACTCATGTGAACATGATTTTGGAACATATATTCTAAAATCCGAAAGTCAAACTATTTAATAGATGTTATAAGCAGTCTACTTTAGTTGCTTCAGCAAAACTGATAAAACTAGTTGAGTTTTTAAAAACACACCCAGGTCACCTAAGTTCTTTGTTCCTGTGGTGTGTAGGTAGATCTTGAATGTGATGAGAGCAGCACTGTGCTGCTAAGGAACTGCTTTGTGGCTCCGTTTTTTTTTTTTTTTCCGGTGAGGAAGATTGGCCCTGAGCTAACATCTGTTGCCAATCCTCCTCTTTTTGGTGAGGAGGATTGTCACTGAGCTAACATCTGTGCCAATCTTCCTGTACTTTATATATGGGATGCTGCCGAAGCATGGCTTGATGAGTGGTATGTACGTCTGCGCCCGGGATCTGAACCTGCGAACCCTGGGCAACCGAGGTGGAACACGGGAACTTAACCACTATGTCACCATGTCAGGCCCTGTGTCTCCATTTTCACAACTCATTTTCTTTAGCATATAAACCAGTTAGCCATTTGGTTCTTCAGTTTGGGGTTTGTTCTTTTTTTGTTTTTTGCACATTTTTTCAAATTGTGTGTGTGCTGTCATTGATGAGTCAAGTTATTCTTCGTTAATTTGTTTTTTTTAATTTAATTTAATTTTTATTTTTATTTATTTATTCTTTTTGTGAGGAGATCAGCCCTGTGCTAACATCTGCCAATCCTCCTCTTTTTTTGCTGAGGAAGACTGGCCGTGGGCTAACATCCCTGCCCATCTTCCTCCACTTTATATGGGACACCGCCACAGCATGGCTTGCCAAGCAGCGCCCAGGATCCGAACCAGCAAACCCCAGGCCGCTGCAGCGGAGCGCGTGCACTTAACCGCTTGTGCCACCGGGCCGGCCCCCTATTCTTAGTTAATTCTTGATTAGCTGTATATCAGGAGAAATAGGCATGATTATTTTCATATCTGATTAACAATCTATTACAAGAAGTTCTTTATTCTGCTTGATATTCCCTTGGTATTGTTTTCGAGCCCCGTGGGGTGGAGACTAGTGATGCCCACTCTGCTAGATCAGGAAGGTGCTGGTTGGCGTCCCTGCCAGCAGCGACTTCTGCTCTTTTCAGCCTGCTACTTGCCAAGGGTTGCTGACATGTGTTGAATGTGAAATAAATGTTGTTTTCATTTTATTTGATATTTTGCTTACATGAGTATCTCGTGCCTCCTAAATTTAATTATGACATGTATGTTTATTATAAAGCTGTTCTACCAGATGGTAAAAAGTGTGTAGTTTCAAACTTCTTTGAAATCCTTAAGAGTTCCTCGGGTTTTACTTAAGAGAATATTCTTGACAAATTATACGGTACCTTGGGCTGTTGTATTTTTGTTACCGTTTCTGTGGCATGTCTTCCCAACCTATCTTCTTGTTCCTAGTCATATTATTTGGCTCATTGGTAACTGGCTTTTTTCTAGGTGGTTTCTCACAGTTTTTGGGTCATCTGTGACAATGACCTATTTTCATTTATTGTGACTGTCACTAAAAAATAATTGATGGTTTACTTCCTTCCACTAGGGACTATTGAGCAACAGAGGCTACAGATAATACAAGCGGTGAGGGATTTCCAGGTCGTAGGCTGGGTTCTAGCCAAGCTGGCCTGCCTGCCTTCTTTAGGAGGGCGGGGGTAAACTTCGAATTGAGTTACGCAACTTAGAACAGTGGTTCCTCTGTTTGCTCTTGCTGTGGCTGAGCTTTCCAAGAGTATGTGACAGGAAGGAAAACCAGGCTTTTCGCTGGTGACATGCCTGTCCTGTTGCTTGGTAGCCGGAAGCCTGTGTTGGCTATGACTGGGCGATTCCGGTAAGTTGGGAAGAAAGGTGGCAGGGCGATTCCGGTAAGTTGGGGAGAAAGGTGAAGATTACTTGGATCCTTCTGTCTCCACACCTTCCGTCTGCTTTGCGACTTACTTTGGGCAAAACCAGAGCCTTGGGTTCCCTTGGCTTTCTGTTATTCTTTAACTGTGGTGGACAACTAATTTGCCTTTGGGGAAATAAGTCTTTACTCTTGCGGAGGTTCCCAGATACTCTTGATTACTTATCTTTCAAATAAGCTATTTGAAAAAATTCTTAAATATGACTTTTATTTACATCTGGGAAAGATTGTTTCCATAGAAGCACATTCAAGTTTTTTAATGAAGAAAAAATCATTACATAGGAAAAAAGTAATTTTTCCTTTTTTTTGTTGTTGAGGAAAATTCACCCTGAGCTAACATCTGTGCCAGTCTTCCTCTATTTTATATGTGGGTTGCCACCACAGCATGGCTGACAAGTGGTCTGCGCCTGGAATCTGAACCCACGAACTGGGGCTGCCAAAGCAGAGCATGCTGAACTTAACCACTACGCCACGGGGCCAGCACCGTTTCACATACCATACAGTTCACCCATTTGAAGGGTATGATTCAGTGGTTTTTAGTGTATCCACAGGTAGGTGCAACCATCACCACAATCAATTTAGAACATTTTCATCGTCTCCAAAGGAAATCCTGTCCCTTTTATTTATTTTTTGATTGAATAAATTTGATGTGCAACATTAAGTTTAAGGTGTACAACATGTTATTCTGGTACATTTATAGATTATAATATGATTGCTGATGTTGCTGTATTTATCACATTACATAATTATAGTACAATGTTATTGTCTGTGTTCCTTATACTGTGCTTTAGATCTCTGTGGCTTAAACCCTGTCCCTTTAGCCCAGGATCCCCAGGACCCCTCTACTGCTCTAGCCCTAGGCACCCACTCATCTAATTTCTGTCTCTATAGATTTCCTTGTTCTGGATATTTCATGTGAATGGAATCATATAATGTGTGGTCTTCTGTGACTGGCTTCTTTCATTTAGCATAATGTTTTTAAGGTTCATCACACTGTAGCATGGGTTAGTACATCATTTCTTTTTTTAAAAAATTGTGATAAAAAATACACAGCATAAAATTTACCATTTAACATTTTTTTGTGTGTGTGAGGAAGATCAGCCCTGAGCTAACATCCGATGCCAATCCTCCTCTTTTTTGCTAGGAAGGCTGGCCCTGGGCTAACGTCCATGCCCATCTTCCTCCACTTTATATGGGACGCCGCCACAGCATGGCTCAACAAGCGGTGTGTCGGTGCGCGCCCGGGATCCGAACCGGTGAACCGCGGGCTGCCGAAGCGGAGTGCGCACACTTAACTTCTGTGCCACTGGGCTGGCCCCCATTTTAACCATTTTTAAGTGTACAGCTCAGTGGCATTAAGTATGCTCACGTTGTTGTGCAACCATCAGCAGCAACCATCTCAAGAACGTTTTCATCTTGCAAACTGAACCTCTGTGCCCATTAGACACTGACTCCTCATTCTCCCTAGTAACCTCTGTTCCTTGAAATTCTTCAGCTCAATCAGAATCTGTTTGGTTATTTTGTATGTGTTTCCTGGAATGCGGTATATCCTCTTGATGTACAGCCCTCTGACACCTCGATTTTAGCCCCATAAGACCCATTTCAGGCATTTAAATTCCAGAACTGTAAGAGAATAGATTTGTATTGTTTTAAGCCACTAAGTTTGTGGTCATATGTTACAGCAGCATGGGAAGCAGAGACATTTGTCTTATGCAAGTTTGCACAGACTAGTCCTGAGATAAGGCTCTGTGGTTGACCGTGGGCCACCCACAGCACCTACTATGCATTTAACCTGGCACATGGTGCTCTCCTGCTTTGTCTCTTGTCTCTCACGGCATCAGAGTTAAAAGCAAGGACTCTAGAGCCATACACCAGCATTTGAATTGTGGCTCAGCCACTTCCTTACTCTGTGCCTCAGTTTCCTCATCTATAAAGTAGCGGCAGTACCAGCATCCACCCTGTAGGATTGTTGGGAGGATGAGATGAGCTAATCCTTGTCGAATACTTAGAACATTCTAGCAGAAGGGCTCTGAGCTCTTACAATGACTAAGTGAAGTACTATGCCTTTACAGAGGAGAGAATTTGAGGGTCAGAGAGGTTTAGTGATGTGCCCAAGATTACACAGCTAGTAAGTGGCAGAACTGGGATTTGATCCCTGGCTCCCTGTCTCTGAAGCCTGTGGTCTTTCTCTTAGCATGATGCCTTCCCCCAGGAGGATGAGACTGTCCCTTAGGAGCTTACAGACTAATTAGGGAGCCAAGACTAACCCATCAAATCTATTAGAGGACAATGTCAGTCAGTTATCAAACTTAACAGGGAGGAGTTTGGAGAAGGGAGACTCCGGGACAAAAGTGCTGCTGGTTATTGTCATTTTCAGAAAATCTATTGAGCGTCCACTGTTAGGGGCCACTGGGCCTTGAGAGTGGAAGTTAGGCATTACCTCTGCCTTCAGGGAGCTAGCCGGGAAGATGGTGGAAGCTTCTTGAGGAGGTTGGCTTTGAACTTAGTCTTAAATGGTAGGTAATTTTTAGATGGCAAAGAAGAGTAAGGAGGAGTTTCCAGATGGGAAGAACATGAGTAAGTGGATGTGGTGATAAGCTGTATCAGTTAGTACCAGGTTGAGCTGCTTATAACAGAAAATCCCAGAGTAATAGTGGTTTAAACAGCACAGAAATTTATTTCCCTCTTGTGTTAAAGAAGTCGAGAAGTATGGCAGCGCCACAGGCTTGCTGGGGATGCAGGCTCCTTTGAGCTAACCGCTCTGCCATTCCTAGGACGTGGCCCTTATTCTCGCGATCTGAGAAGCTGCTAAAGCTCTGGCCATAGTGCCAGTCAGGACCCTGGCAAGAAAATGGAAACAACACGAGGTATTTCCCGTAGAGAATTTAGTGTAGGGAATTGGGTGAGCAGGTGCTTGAGAACTGAAGAAGCGAAAGGGACCACTGAAGTGATTAAAAGAAGGACTGCAGGAAGCAGCCCCACGCCTGGGGCTGGGGCAGCAAAGGGAAGATTGGGGTTATGGGAACCTGGAAGCCCAGGGGAGGAGCCCCAGAGCTGGGACCCCGACCTCCAAGGAGACGGCACTGCTGGGCTGTTGCTGGCATCTCAGAACTTGAGGAGTGCCCCTGTGGAGCTGGGCCAGACCTCTGAGCTGGTGCCCCTGAGGGTGCCATGAGGCTGGTTCTGGGGTTCCCCAGAGAAGTGGGGACTGGAACAGCTGCCATCGCTGGGCTGACGGGTTGCTATTGCAGCACGCGGACAGGAGCAGCAAGCAAACACGTCTCTCTCCTCTCCTTCCAGCCCCCCTCCGCTGCCCCACTGGCAGAACCTGACCGGGAGTAACTGATGAGGGGACAGGTAACTGGCAGAGTCCCAGCCCAACATCACAGCAGGAAACTAAAGTGTGGATTTGGAGCTCCGAGACAGTAGTTGAGGGATCGACACACCGTCGTCTCCTTTTCTAGACAACAGGACAGAGGACTGGGAAGAAAGGGGCAACGCACAGCATGTCTTAAATTGGTTTCCCAAAAGTCACACAAACACTTTCTTTTACATTTTATTTGCCAGCACTTGGTCTCGTGGGCGCACCCAGCTGTAAAGGCAGCTGGTAAATACAATCTTGATGCTAGGCACACGGCTGCCTGAATACAGTCTGAGTTCTCTTCCCAAGGGCAGGGAGGAGAGTGTCTGCCCCAGGAGCAGGGCTTTCAAAATGGTTGTGCTAACGTTAGTATGGCAACATTAACTAACCTCCAGATAAAACCTTCTCCCTGTTATCTCTCCTCCCTACACAAGCTAACCGTTCCTCTTGGTCTGTGTTTCTTGGCAGTGCTTGTCAATGTTATGTTCATCATCCCTGTACCGCTGGGCGCATGAGGATGTGAATTAACTTGTCTTTTAGCCTTACTTTTGGGAGTGTAGCTTGCCTAGACCTACTGTTCATGGATGGGACAGGGAAAGAGGCTGGTGGCTCCTGTGACCAGGAGATGTCATTCTAGAAAGCTGTGGTCCGATTTGCTGGTAACTTTTTCTCCAAAAGCTGCGCATATATTGCCAGATGATATTGATGCCTCTGACAGGCAGGTGTAGACTCAGGGTTTGCTGAAGCGTACAGCTTGAGACACTATCCTGTGGTTTTGCATTCTGTCTTATGGTTTTATGTCTGCTGTCTTCATTAGAGCAGAGGTTTCTGGAGGGCAGGGACCAGAGCATATTTCAGTTTTGGGTTACCCTAGCTTCTGGCATAGTGCTTTGCTTACGTAATAGTTCCGTAAGATGTATTGACTAGGTAAGAGCAGGATTTAGGGACTCTGAAGTTGCTACCGATGAGGCACCTCTTGTCTGTCATTCCTCTTTGTACAGGCTTTTGTACTCCTTCACTGAACTCCAGTCCCTACATTAACTCACCTTCCTCTATACCTAATCATTTCCAAGCCAGGCAGGCGATTGGTCCCCACGGCTATTACTTTCCTGTTTAAATGACCCCCGTAACTTGTGTCTTGTCTTTGGTAGTCAGAGTGGAAGGTCTCTCATTTCCTCTGAAAGCTCCAATAACCAGTTAATTTTGCAAGTTTTTTGAAAAGGCTGTTAGTCGAAATCGGTTGAGAAGTTTTTACTACATTGGCATGGAGTGGGTAGGTCTTGGAACTATACTCCAAGTGCAAAGTCCTGGAGATGGTGGCTTAAGTATCGCCCCAAGATTTTAACCTGGGAATTATGGGAAAATAATGGAAATTTTGGATCACAGAAGAACTGGGCATAAAGGAATGCCTCTGGGATTTCCCCCGTTCCCAGTGCTGAAGAGAGCTGTCTTGGGTCCCTGTCACTCTCTAGGGGCAAACGCCACGTGCGGCTGCACACATGCAATTTAAAAAATCTCTCCTCCAACACTAATCTAGAAGAACAGATTGGGAATTTCCTGTTTTTAATGTGACTTGTGGAATTGGTCTGACAACTGTGAGGTTAATCATTTCTGTTGCTAGGAGTACCCTAAGAGAATAATGAAGATTTGGATGAGAACAGTGCTTGTGGGATCCTGACTTCTCATGGGTAGTTATCCAAGAAGAGTGATTTAGCTTACCTTCAAAATACAGATACTTACTGTCCTCTTGTTTCCGACAGAGGTGGCCTCAGTAATATGCTGTTCCAGTGCTCCTTACCCGACACTCTGGCCACCGTTGGTGACGAGCCTCGGAAAGTGCTCCTGCGGCTGTATGGAGCGATTTTGAAGATGGTGAGTTCGCAGGCTCCTTGGGGACGGGAGGGACCTGTTAACAGTTTTAATCCTCGTTCCTAGATTACATGCGAAGAGATTTTAAATACTTTAGTGGTGTTATTAAAGCTATTTAAATATATTGCTTTGGTTTTAATTGGGCTGCAGAACTTGGTTTTTTGTTTATATTCTAAGTGAATTCCTGTTTTTACTTATTTATTAGTAAACTAGTACAAATATTCTCAGGTTTATATTCCAGAGAAAGTATAATGTTCAAATCTTTAATAGTGCTTGATGATGCTCGGATTTTCCACACATTGAGATTTTCAGCTCAGACTTAGGTAGTAAAATTCTAATGTGGAGAAGGTATTGTTTTTATAGCATAAGCAAAAAAAAAGTTTTACAGGGTCGGCTCAGGAGACCAAGTGTGATCTCAGAGAAGCTGAATTTATTAACTACTTCCCTCCCTGTGAGATTTCTTTAAAACTGAATTTGTTAGATTTATAATCTTTCCAAATTTTTATATTACTTAAATAATTGAATCTAATTTTCAGTTAAAGTGTCTTATTTGTTAAATTGTCTTAAGCAATTATAGGATATCCCAAATGTATGGATTTTTTTTTACTGTTTATACCATGAATTTACCATTTTACTGACCACACATACAAATGGTTGGTCAGTATATTTCTGTGGTAGAGTTGTTTTTATTTTGAGGAAGATTGGCCCTACGCTAACATCTGTTGCCAATCTTTCTCTTTTTTTGTTTTTTCTCCCCAAAGCCCCAGTACATAGTTGTGTATCGTAGTTGTAGAGTTATAGCTCTGCTCTGTGGGACGCCACCTCAGCATGGCTTGATGAGCAGTGAGTAGGTCCTCACCCAGGATCTGAACCCAGGAACCCTGGGCCGCTGAAGCAGACCTCGAGGACTTAACCGCTACGCCACCAGGCTGGCCCCTCTGTGGTAGAATTTTGATATCCACTTAAATCTTCTTTGGAGGGGCCCATTTTTATCTTCATGAAATAAAGAATAGTTTTCTGACTTAACTTTTTTAAAGACTAGTCTCTTTCAGCCTGATCTAAGAAGCAGGTCACGTCCCTGTCTATAATTTGATTATCTGTTTAGAAATAGTAAAGTTAAAATTGGCACCCTAGATGTTAATTCATTAAAAAAGTTGTCATAATGTGACTGAACCTTTTCACTGGATAATTTTTCCTTGACCCTGTCAAGCTGTGAAAGTGGTCAGGATCTGAAAGTGTTGGTGACAAGTTAGCGTGTTTGAGGTTGTGTGCACTTTGCTGAGGGAACTTGAGCCTCTTTGTCGTTAGGTGCCCACAGCCGCCTTACAGCTGACCCTGACAGCCCCTTACTAATAATACACAAGTGGAAAACGTTCTTGCCTTCACCATGCAGTTTGGTTTCTTTATTTAATAACAAAGTTGCAGTTTCAAAGCACAGTTTTTGAAATACCCAAGTAGTGTCTTTTTGGCACTTTTTTTTTTTTTTTTTTTTTTTTTTTAAAGATTTTATTTATTTTTTTTTTTCCCCCCAAAGCCCCAGTAGATAGTTGTATGTCATAGCTGCACATCCTTCTAGTTGCTGTATGTGGGACTCGGCCTCAGGATGGACGGAGAAGTGGTGCCTCGATGCGCACCCGGGATCCGAGAAGTGGTGCCTCGATGTGCACCCGGGATCCGAACCCGGGCCACCAGCATTGCAGCGCGCGCACTTAACCACCAAGCCACAGGGCCGGCCCTTTTTGGCACTTTTAATGAGATCAGTCTTTAGCCATTTTTTCTTTGAGGTCTTTGACATTCTGTAACAATTAAGTCCCATTTCTGTTCATTTATTTTGTGTGCTTTCATTTAAGCGGTACTTTTTAAATACTTTAACCAGCTGCTGGAATTGCATGTGATACAAGACTCTTGTTTGAATCTAATGTATGAGGCTTTTGTTCCTATTTAATAACTTAAATAGGAGCGTTTTAAATGTGCACTGTGCGCTCCTCCTGGTGCTAGACTAAGCCGGGCGTCAGGCCCTGTGCTCCCTCTAGGGCGGCGGTGTGGTGATGGAGGTGAGGGAAGCGCTCTGGATCTGTGCTGTCCAGGATGCTGGTTGCCAGCCACGTGACCGTCAAACGCTTGAAATGTGGCAAGTGCGACCTAGGAATGGAATTTTAAATTTTGTTTAATTTTAATTGAAATAGTCATGTGTGGTAGCTACTGCATTGGACAGCACAGCTCTAGAATTTGCTGTTACTGGATAGGTAACTTGGTAAAAGCCAGCTACAGTACAGCCTGTGACTTAGTTATCTTTTCCTGAATAAAGATTCACTATAAGTAGTTAATATTTTGTGTTTTTTGAAACTTTAGCAGTCTAGAATTATTACCTGGGAGTACTTAAGTGCAATAGCAATGTCTGGAAATAGAATTTGTTTTAACAGAATTCTGTGTCCTGGGCCTGGCCTGGTGGTGTAGTGGTTAAGTTCACACACTCTGCTTCGGTGGCCCAGGGTTCGCAGGTTCGGATCCAGGGGCCGGACCTACTCACCGCTTATCTAGCCATGCTGCAGCAGGCGTCCCACATATAAAGTAGAGGAAGATGGGCACGGATGTTAGCTCAGGGCTAATCTTCCTCACCAAAAAAAAAGAAAAAAAAAGGAATTCTGTGTCCCTATTTATTTTTTAAAAAGAAAAAAAGACTACTGGGTAACTCAGAAAAATAAATAGCAGAATAATTAAAGCCACTTAAAATGGAGTTAACTCTTACGAAACTAATAGAATGAAGTATGTTTTACATGCAATTCTAATTTGTAGGGGGACACATGACATTTAGCTTCTTGATTATATTTTTTTTTAGGCAAGTGTTAGTTTCCATTCCTGAAACTGCATCTCCTGATGAAAGGTGGAAACTATGCTTGAAAGCACGTTGGGTAGAAAGGGAAGCGAGTGGCTTACTAGATGGGTGACGTACAGATGTCTGACAGTCTCATAGTTGGCTTGTTAGACAGGAAACTTATTTTTGTTGGGAAAAAAGCTGTTCCTTTGCTTCAGAGGTGGGAATCTATATTTTCAATATAATTACTCAGTTGGTTGAATCTTTAGTTCAACTATACTTTTTTTGTTGACGTTTGAACTTAAAACTATAAAACCTAAAATTTAAATTTAAATATCTGTAAATATTAAATCTAATGTTTAAATTTAGATATTTAAACAAATTTAAATATTTTGGCCTCAAATTTAAATATTTTTGGTTCCCAAGTTTTTCAGGGTTTAGCCAGGGGCACTTGTTGCCAGTTTGAATTTCAGACATGAATGGCCATTGTAGACTGTTGGTCACTGTGGATACTTGGACAGCGCGAGTAGGGGAACCGGATTCAGGGACCCTGCAAAATGACTGTAGTGCGAGTGAGGGGAAGGAGGGGCAGACGGTGGAGCCGTGAGATGCCGGCCAGGCAGCAGTTGCTGTGGAAGCTCAGCTTTCCCAGCGCTGTGCCAGGGATTTTACCATGCACGCAATTCCCTTTCACGTATTCTCAACTCAGTTTTGAACAATCTGTTATTTATCTTTCTGCTGGGGGCCTGGGTGCCGTCACATTGCTGGTTTATGATCGCCTCTGAGTCGGGACTGTACTGAAAGGAGAGGTGTCTGTAGGCTACAAGGAGGCTTTTGTTCCCAGCACAACAACAAAATTCCCAGATTGACAGTAACTTGTCAGGATTTACATTAATTAAGAGATGTGGCTGAGCAAATACGGAGCCCAAGTAATAACGTCACATTTCTTTCGTAAATGGATGGGTTAAAGACAGAATTAAATATAGTACAACTCAGATGTTATGCTTTCCTTCTTTTACTCTCTTTGAGAGGAAAGCACACACACATCCCCCTACACGTGCGTGCCTGTCTGCAGACAGAGCCGGTACCCCCAGCTCGGCTATATAACATATGCAGTTGTAGCGTCCTTTGAGGGGGGTTAGAATAAGCATCTTCCTTGAAAAATGTTAATTGATGACTGCACGTAATGATAGACCTATGTGTTTTCTCAGAATATTTTGCTGTTTTGCTTAATTACATGATAGACTGGTTTAGTTTAGTACGTCCCTTCTTTCCCTTTCTCCTCCTTGTTTTAAGCTTTTGAATTTTTTACCTCTATGAGACTCACATACTAAGTAGAAATATTCCTTCGATTTATAATCATTTACAAGTGATGTGGTTTATAGTAATTAGACGCTTCTCAACTGTCTCCATCTTGATGCTGTGGGATGTCTGCCTTCCTCTGTGTCCTTAGTGGCGGTGAGCTGACTGCTCTTTGGTGCAGTTCCCTGAGGATTAAGTACAGAAAGCCAAAGTTAAAGCTTCCGGTTGGGTACGGCCCACAGTTTCTGTCCCACAAACGGTTCCCCTCCAGCCCTTGTTTCTGTATGAGATGAGCCATAAGCAGCTTCCTGCATCCTGGAGGTTTTGTTGAGGATTTGTGTTAATTTTAAAGATTTTATTTATTTATTTTTTCCCCCAAAGCCCCAGTAGATTGTTGTGCGTCATAGCTGCACATCCTTCTAGTTGCTGTATGTGGGACGCGGCCTCAGCATGGCCGGAGAAGCGGTGCGTCGGTGCGCGCCCGGGATCTGAACCTGGGCTGCCAGCAGCGGAGCTCATGCACTTAACCGCTAAGCCACGGGGCCGGCCCGATTTGTGTTAATTTTAGAGGGCTTATGAAAAGCCCTGTGTTGGGACAGAATGGGTCCTTTTGAGAACATGAGCAAGATAAGACAGAACTTTGAAAAACAACTAGACAGTATTTGTAGGAAATTATCAAACATAAGGAAATACATGTCAATATAATTTAGTGTCTGTTTCACATAGGCTAGCTTTAATTTTAATGAGGAGGAGGTTCTTTTCATTAGCTGCATAGATGATGAAAACCAAAATCAACTGTAAAACTCCTGTAACTGAAGTAGGAGAGTTGAATAGATGTTTTGAGAAGTACTAGTTTAGCCTTTGCCATTGTGGAAAGAGATGTAATTGCTAGAAGAGAGCCTGAAATGGTAAAATTAGCTATAAATGTAACTTGATTTTTTTCCTTTCTGATACTGGGAAGGAACATGAGCTCTGCAGCGTCCAGTAGCAGCCTTTTCAAAGAAGCAAGTTTGGCTGATTACAAATAACCAGTTTGCTTATTTATCATGAATTGAGGAAGACACAATGTCAGTACGTATTGTTCATTCAATGTGACCTGTGCCAGTTGGCAGAAGTCTCAGAAGATCGCTTTGTCCCTTCCTCTGTCAGAACAGTGCCTCCGTGTTGATCCCTTCTGCGCATGAATGGAGAGATTTGATCTCACAGGCATGAGCGTTTATAATACACATCAAAGATCTCTTGTGTGTTGTCCTGGAAAATGTTCTTGTTTTGTTTTTTGAGTAATAGAAGGCTAATATTAGTGCTTGTTTGAGTACTAACCATAATAAAATTAAAGGCATCAAGGCACAACGCAGATATGTATTAGTAATGCAAAAGAGTACAATTTGGGACACGGTCTTTTTTGAATCCAGAAGACAAAATCTTATCTTCCCTGTTTTCTCTTAACCCCAGTTTAATTAAAAATTAAGCCACGATAAAATATGGAACAGCCCATAGATAGTTAGTATTAAGCTGTTGGCTACTGAGAAATTGACTGCTGACAAACATTTCTTTCTGGAACTAAGGTCACACTTACTGTGCAGACAGTCTGCCTGATGCTCCATCATGAAGAGCCCTGCTCTGTCCCAAGAGACTGAGAGAGAACATGTCCCTGGTAACTGAACACTGTGAATTCTGTGTTTTTTCCTCCTTGTATTAGGGTCATCATGAGTTTAAGTAGTTTTGTTTCCTCTGCTTTAAAAAAAATCCCCTGGTACTTTGAGTATGATGTAATTATGTCTATTTTCTAAGGTAGTCAAAACTTCCTTCTCGGAAGTAAAACATTTTCCCAGGATTGCGTGTTCCCATTTGGCCTAACCTAGTATTTCTTCAGTTAATACTCTCCAATGATAGTTGCCAAATTACTCTCTATAGTCCTTCCATACCTGCTTTGGTGCCTTCTTTCGATAACTAAATAAATCACAGACTACCGTGTCTAATTTTGACATATGCAAAGCGTCTTTGTCTTGCTAGTCTTAAATGTTTGGGATTTATCGCATGAAGCCATTACAGATTTCTGGTCCCTGGAACGATGGTGTGACCACAGCCCAGCCCTCTTGGGAAGGAATGTCTTTGTGGGGTGGCATGAGGGCATGGGGGGTAATGTACCACTTTAGCTGTATGTGCATGTGTTCTCTGCTGCAGGCTTGTCCATGCGATCGTGCCTGGAGCACTCTGGTTTCCAGGTGACAGACACGATTCACGGTATAGTATGAGTCCTCTGAAGTCGGAGCATTCTCTACAGCTTTAATTTCTTTTGTTTAGTTCTTGGTTTCAAGAAATGCTTTTTAAAAAGAAACTGGTAATGCTTTTGTTAAGTAGCACCAGCTACAGTTTGTGCTATGCTTAAAGAGGTACAGTGATCAAGATTTCAGAATGTTATGTATTGAATATATCACTTTTTGTTTTTTGGGGTTTTTTTTGTCCAAGGCAAATCAGATCCCTTTCTTCTGTTTCCTCAGTAGAAAATGACAAACATTTAGTAATTTTAAAAATTTATGGGCCTCAACTTGAAAATTCAATTAAAGTATTTCACTTCTTCCTTTGCTCTGCTTTCAGTGTTAGGAAAATACCATATATATATTGATATTTTGGTCAGAGTTAGAAACAAACGTTCTTCTTTGTCCTTATCAAGTAGCATCCTTTTTCATGTCTTCGCGGGTCCCCGATACCTTTGTGAAGTTCAGCAGTACTGATGGATGTGTCAGCGTACACAGGCTGGAGAAGTGAGGACACTCTTCCTGGAAGTGTGTCGCTTGCGAGTCACCCCCGGATGCTTGTGCTGACGGGACTTGCACCTTGGGAGTCTTGGGGAAGCAGGTTACCCTGGATCAGACATAAACTTTGAGAACATCCTGGAAGGAGCCTCCTTTACCTGGGCTTCCACTCACCTGTCTTTCTACTGATTTGTTTGACTAGAGCCTTTTAGAAGTTCTGGTATCTTGTTGATGTTCGTCAGGTCATTCGATTTTGCAAAGTTCAAAAAGATCAAATTGTTTTAGAATGTTCCTTGAGATAATTGAAGATACTCGAGACACTACCATAAAATGTTAAAAATCGTTTAAGTTCTTTTAATTCATATGTGCTTGGTAGATAATCACATAAGCTATACTTTAAATCATCGCATTGTGATCTCACATTTTAATGTATTCTATAGAATATTTTCAGAAAATACTATAAGAAACCATAAAAGCAATAAATACAGAATGTTTTCGTAGAAATCAGGGAGAAGGAGAGTTAGGGTCCGTGATAACATTGAAAAGGAAATGAACTTCCAGGTGTTAGTTGAAAGAGCCACATGACTACTGTACGTTCTGTGGAGTTGTGGTTCTCATTTTCCCAGCCCCAGCTCACCTGAAGGATGGAGCATAGTCTCATGATTAACAGGAGTGGTGACAGGTGCCGCCCTCTTGTTGAGAATCTTTTCTCTCCCAGAGAGTAGAGTTTGGTCAGATAACCGGGGTGGATCTTAGAAGACAGCAAAGTCACAGGCTACACAGTAAAGAAGCCTATGTCACTCCTGGCCCAAATGAGTATCACGGTTACTGAACATTCAGAATAGTGCGGCACACTCTGTTACTCTCAGGGCGAATACTGATAGTCTGGGAGTTGCTTGGACTCAGCTCATGAGGATAATCCCAGGTTAGTGGAGAGATGGATGGCTTTCCTAGACCGAATCTTCGATGCCCTATAAGTTGTGTAGCTAACGTTTGGATTATTCTTTCTTAATCACTCATTTTATTTATCCCAAAGTGTTTTTAAAGGCCACAACCAACTTACTGTTTAATATAGAGCCTTTAAAAGAGACAGTAGCTGAATGATCCATTTAATTCTTTTTTGGTGGGGAAGAGCTGGTGGAAAGAAAATGTCCTCCATGTTTCTATAAAGCACTCTTATTTGTGTCTTTTTATTTCTGTAGCCACCATTATATTTAACATAGTGGCTACTTCTTTATTATAACATTATCTGTAATTGATGGGGATTTGATTTCTTAAACAGCATTTCCCACTTATTATGCTATTGATGACATCATTCTTTGTAGCTGATTCATCACTTTTCCCAACCCATCCCACGAGCGACTCACACAGTAGTGGATCTTATATAAGACACAATTCCATCAGGTGAATTTCCTCATCTTATAGCCCCTAAAGTTGTCTTACTACCTTTTGATTTTCATTTTCTTTTCAAAGCGTGAAATAGAACATTTTGAAAACCAGCATATTCATGGAGTTGACTGTCCTTTTAAGCATATTTGATGCATTCTGACTTCTTAGGTCTTGAAATGTCAGTGTTTATTTTAAAAACACTTTGTATTATGGAGAATTGCAGATATATGCAGAGGTAGACCAGGAGAGTGTCATGAACCCCCGTGCCCACTATCTGTCTTTCGCTCTGACTGGTCGTCTTTCATCTTCACCCTCCTCATTCTCCAGGTTATTCTAAAGTAAATTCCAGACATCATATTATTTCTTCCATGAATGTTTCTGTCTGTGTCTATATAAGATGATTTTTAAAAAACATGACCACAATAATGTTTACATCAAAAATTTTTAATAATTATGTAATACTAAATAACAAATGTTCAAATTTCAAATAAATGTAAAAAATTTTGTTTGATAACTTATGAAAGTTAATTTTTATTAATATGCAAGTTAGTTGGCAAAAAAATTGGAGTCATGTTAAATATTTGTACAATATAGTTTAATGTCTGCTTTAGATGAATATGTGCCTCTGAAGTAAAATCCCACAGATTCCAAGATATATTTTACTTCCTGTCTTCCTGGACTAGAAAGTTCTCTAACCTGTTTTTTGGCAGTGTGAGTCTCTTTCTTCTTGGCTTACCTCAGGGAGGCCTCTTCTCTCGCCTTTTTGTGACTGTCCTCTTGGTTTGAGATTTCCTGGTCTTACTCTTCTTACAGGATTGAGGGCACCCGAACATTCTGTACTGAGGAAACAGAACAGAGGGCTGAATATGGCAGAAGTCCATCTTGCCTTCATGGTGGTGCTCTCATGGGATAAGTAATGCATTTAATTGGGGGTGGAACAGAGTGGGCAGGGGGAGGAAATTATTAATGGAATCCATTCCCACTTAATGGTGCTAATATGTTAAAAAGGAATGGCCTTGGAACTAAGCCAGTCTGTAACTTGGGACAAATGACTTGCTTTTGAGAACACCATTAGACAAGGGAATGAAACTTCTGTTGGCTAAATAACCCATTAACTGTATCTCCCTAAGAAGATACAGTTAGAGTAATAACAGCATAGGAGTAACCATAGTCATTTAGAATCTTGTACAGGTCAAATCCCGTTACAACAAATTTCAGTAGGATATCCAAATTCCTTATTTGTCTTAAAGCTTTTCCTACAAAGTATCAGTATGCAACATATCAGATTATAGAACTTTTTTTGTTCTTAACTTTCCTTGGGGAGAAAAAGCACAACAAAGTTTTAATGTTTTGGGGACATTTCAGCCCCACTCAGCATTCTAATGAACACCGTAGCCAGTTTTCCCACTGCCAGGGCATGGATGTGAGTTTGCCGTGCCCAGTCGGCTCAGGCGCCCCAGGTTGTTCCCTGAGCTGGCCAGCCTTGAGTTTCACAGCGAGGGAGCGTTCATTTTTCATGCAGTCCCGAAAGTGTAGTAAGCACCAGGATTTGCTTGGTGCTTTGGGCGAAGACTAACAATAAATAAAAGATGGATTGTATTCATTAGGAACTTGTAGGCCAATGGGGAGAGGAGACAACTAAAGTGTGAGTTTAAGGTAACAGTGCAGTCAGGTGAGTATCTGGAGCTAAGGAAGGAGTGAAGCTTTCGTGGTCCCAGTTACTCCTCCCTGGGGTTTATCACATCACACATCAAGCCGTTAGCAAGGGTCTGAAAGGGTTTCTGCAGTACTTTGATTTTTGTAGCTTTCATTGTAACGGGATTTAACCTGTAACATCTTTCATCAGAGAAACGCAGATTACACCAATGAAAATATCATGTATCCCCCATTTGTACTTTCTGTACTTTGTACCAAATGTACTTAACTGTATGTTAAAGATGTTATTGAATATGTGTAAGTGCAAGCCTTTTGCAGATAGTTTATGAACATGGATATTTATTTTGTTTACCTTTGTATTGAGTAATCTAGAACACATACTGTTTATACAAGACACGCATTAAAACATCTGTGGAATGTTATTTCCATGTGTGATGGATGAGAGTGGCTGCTTTAAATCATAGGTTTGTTGAACGGTGCTAGAGTAGCTGGTGTTGCTTAACGTGGCATTTTTTTTCCTGTCCACACCTTCCACCCTTGGTACAGGTATTTTTGATAAAGCTGTGGAATGGAAAGGTATGTTTTTCATGGGATGTTCAAGAATCTTTTACCTTAAATTTTTTAAAGAGCTTCCTTTATGGGCTTCCTTCTGTGTCTGGCTTAAGCAGACTTAGTTTAATTGTGACAAATAACATATTTCTAGAGGCAGTACTTGAGTATAAAACTGTGACGTGACCCTTAAGTTTCTAACTTGCTTTTCCCCATCCCCTGGGTAAAGATAGTAGGAAGGTTTTTAAAGCACTTGGGGTGGGGGGCTGCTTTTAAAAGATATGATCTGTGCCATGAAGAAAGAATGTAGCCAAAGAGTTGCTTATGGTAGTTAATGATCTAGTTGTTATTGCTAGAATCCTGGTTACCAATAATTTGCAATTTCATTGAGGAAAGTGATGCAAAAGTATCGCTTAATATATTAGTATGTGAAGTAACTACAGGGACTTTATTAAATTTGCACCATCCTCTCTTTGGTGGAGGAAGAATTCAGATTGAGCTAGTGATAGGCGGAAGGAGCAGGGCCAGTCTGTGGAAGTGGCAAGTTGGCAGGCTGGTCCCCACAGATTCTATGCCAGGTTTCCTGCCTGCACAGGGCTTTCTTCCCTGTCAGAGTTCTGTGCTGACCACGGCTTGCCACGAGCATTCCTGTCCTTGCAGGACGAAAGCCTTCCTTGGGGTAGTATTGACTTGAAAGAACCATCTAGCTAAATTGGTGAGACTCAGCTTGACCATTTGGCTGATCGGAAGAGCACTCTCTATTGACTTTCCTTTCCTCGAACAATGAAATTGTGAAAAGGTATACGGGGATGGTTGTGAGTCCCAGCTGTCTGGTCTCAGCAGTACATCCCTTTCCTTGTAAAGACATGGAGTGGTTCCTCGGGTCTCGGCACTAGTGCCGGCACTGGTGGCACATTGTAGACTGCTCCTGATGCCATCAGTGGGCTAGGAAACACTCAGTCCACATCTGTGATGTTCTGTAAACCCTGACTGTTCTGGTGGTTGTAAAGTTAGTGTCTGCTTAGTGTTCCCCATCTCACCGGAAGTGTTTGCTTTTTCTCATTCATAGAGGTCCTGTAATAAAGAGGGATCCGAACAAGCTCAGAAAGAAAATGAATTTCAAGTAAGTAATTAAGTCCACTCTGCATCTATGTGAGGTGTCGATTGGTGACGGCAACCTTGGCCGCTCTGGTGTGGCGGTGCCTCTTACCTGTCCTTGGAGAGTCCCGGTCTGTCTGTCTCAGAGAATGGGCTCACGTAGGTTGGAGCCACCTCAGGAAGACTGAGTGAGTGGTGGGTGTTCCCGGTTCCTGCTGCGAGTGTAGCTAGTGGACAGTGGTGTCTTTAGGGCAATCCAGACAGCATTTGGGTGCCAAGAGACGGCAGTTTGGGGTAACGTTTGTCTGTGATGTTCTCATGTGGAGGCGACCTGGCTGTCCCTGCCTGGGTGTCTCAGTGGCCACTCTTCCCCGGGGCGAGTAGGAGTGTTTTTCCTTATGCATGGTACCCAGGTCAGAAAGGCTTTTTAATAACTACGAGTTCAAGTTAAAATGACCCCACTTTCTGAAATGCATATGCAGAAGATCTTGTGGTTGAGAGCACTTACGTATCGACCTGTCCCCCCTTTGAGACTCAGAAGTGGAGATTCTGGAGCAGTGATCTCCACACTCTGGGGAGTAAACAACTTGAGCATACTCTCCCAATATATGCAGGTTTGTATATCCGGTGTGTGTGTGTATGTGTATATACACACACATCATAGAAAACATATCTACACACAGAAATATCCTGATTTTACTAACTATACTAATTATTAAAATAAGAAATAGAAATCAAGCAGATGTGAGATCATAAAGGAATAGAAGTGCTGATATTTTTTCCTCATATTTCTGGATTGTTTTGCATGCACCCTGGTCTGGAGGCCCTGGTCTGGAGGATCTAGAACTTGTGCTCTCTGGGGTGACACTAGGTCATTGAGTGGGAAGTGATTGACATCCTGTTTTCAACCATTCTGAGCCCTTTCTATAGACCTTCGTACATCCTGGTGGTTGAAAATGTTGGATCCCTGGGACCTCCAGGATGCTAAATCTGAAGTATATTTTCAGTTCTTGTTTTATCTGGACTTCTCAGCACCATTAGACATGACCCCTGCCCTTTTTGAAGTATTTCCTTTCCTAAGGCAGCCAAGGAGACAGAGACACAAAGTGAAGATCTCTCTTTTCTTCCACTCCTCCTTAGTCTCCTTTCTAGGCTCATCCTCCTATTGTCTTAAGTGCTAGAATTCCCCTCGCCTCGGTCCAAGGCCCTCGTCCCATGCTGCCCTCCTTCCCCAGGCCCCCAGATGCAAACTTTGTCTTGCGTTTCTCCTGTAGGCCAGAGGTTCGCAGCTGTAGCCTGCACTTCTGTTTGGAACTAACGCCGTCTGCTACCGGTCTCTCTGGGTGCCTCACCAGGTCCAAGACTGAAGTCATGATCTCCTCCCTCCCCCACAGCATCCCTTCTGTGCAGGCCAGAAAGCCGGGCGCCACCTCTGACACCCTTCCCTCCCTCCCCCACATCCAGACCATCCTTTGAACTCGACGCTGCATCTGTCTACTTCTCTCCACGTGTACCACCCCCTCCCTGGTCCAAGCCAGCACCGTCTCCCCTCTGGGCTCCCACAACCAGTCCCTTCTTCATCGCTGGAGTCCTCTTTTTGAATTGCTCATCTGATCTTGTCTGCCTCTTGCTTCAAGTCTTTCAGTGCTCACTCTCTGCTCTGGGCTGAGTGAGGCGGGCTTTGTCCTACAAGACCCTGAGGTCTGGCCCTGCTCAGCTTTCCAGGCTCCTCTTACAGCACACTGCCCCCATTCCCTGCTCTCCAGCCATGTTGCCCAAACTGGGGGTTCCTTCTTGTCATAGGGCCTTTGCAGATGCTGCTCCTTCTGGCTGGAATGCTCCATGCTTCACCCATTTCCCACTCTCCACTTCTATTCATAATTAGGATTTTAGCTCAGGTTCCTTCCTTCCTGCTCCCTAGACTGGGTTTCTCCTCCGTTCCGTGCTCTCATGGCACCGTATTCCTCTCCTTTGCGCTTTCCACGGCTGTACATTTTCAGCGTTACGTGGTGAATGTCCGTTCTCGTGAGATTCTAAACTTAGGGCAGGATCTCGCCGCCTCTTGCTGTCTCACTGCGGCTATGATGCCTAGTGTACAGTGGGGTACAATAGAAAGTTGTTGAATGCTGGCTGCAGCTGGTGCCAATAGACGGCTCTGGAACGTTCTGCCCCTTGCCTGCTGGTGCGCACACTCTTCCTGTCCCTTCCTCTTGTCAGTCTGAGATGCCCTCTCTTCAGGTGGTCACTGCCACACTGCTTCCTCCTGTGCCTGCTGGGTTTCTGCCGAGCAGAAAATAGGAGGTGATCTGATTTTGCCTACGATCCTTTGGGTCAAAAAGTGGGCAGTTGGCTGTCTGAATGGGAAAGGTGGTTTGTCTTCTTTGAGCCCTTCGAGTGGTTGGTCTTTGTCAGCAGTCTCTGTTCCCTCTTTTCTGAACGTTTCCTCTACTGACTGGCCCTCTGTGGAGCCTTGCCATTCCAGGGGACCCCTCTCCTGCAGCCCTCTCCAGGAGGACGTTTTTTCTGTCACCTCCCAAGTACCTCCGGGCCACTGATGGGGATGGTTTCTTCTTGCTCCTTCCTTGTTTCTGTTTCCAAACCATTCTCCTCTGTTGAAAACCCGAGTTCCTTTGAGGCTTGAGCCTCGGAGCCCTGCCACCCCCACCCCTCCTGATAGCTGCCCTGGTTCGGTGAAGAGTTCTATGTCTCGCTTGATCTGCAAACCCAGCCACCTATTTACCGTCTCTGTGCCTGCACCCAAGCAACTGAACATTGTTAGAGGAAAAGAACACCATCGGGGGAACTGGCTCCCTTTCCATTCATGGTGCTGAGCCTCTGGTGGGCGCCTGCGAGTCTCTCTGGTAGGCTGCCTTCCTGACCTGAGATGTGTGCTTCAGACCCTCGCCAGACCTCCCCTTCCTCCCCTCAGCGGGCACTGTAACCTCACCCTTTGATGGCTGCTATTTTCTTGTCTTCCCACTTCCAAATTCACGAGCCCTCTGTGTTTACGCCCGTCCTTTCCACTGACTGGTCCTTCCTTGTGCTCCAAACCCCAGCTCTTCTCTCTCCCTGTCTCTCCCAGGTGTGGCCCTCTGCATGGTGACACGGCTTGCTGGACTCATGTTCTCCTTGGCCTCACACTGTGTAGCTCCCTCTCGTAGCAAGATTTCTTGAGAGAGTATTTATACGTGCTCTCTCTGCTTTCTCACTTCCCAGTCTCTTTTTTTGGAAAAAAGTTTTGAAAGTTTGGGACAGTACAAGAATAACGTAAGAAAAACCTTTATTCCCACCATACAGAATTAGTAACTTCTTTTGTCGTATTCCTGGACTTCAATCTTTTTTTGTATGCGTTTATTATTTTTATTTCAAACTAATTGTAGTCTTAGAGAAAAATGGCACAAATACTACAGAGTTCCCAGCTTCCCCTGCTGTTAACATCTTACCCGACCACAGGGCCGTGATCAGAACCAGGTAAACCAGCCATAACAACAACTAAACTACAGACCTTATTTGAGTGTCTCAAGTTTTTCCACTAATGTTTTCTTTTGTTCTGTTCTGGGATTTGGCCAGGATCCCAACCTTGCACTTGGTGGTGGTTTCTCCTTAGTCCTTTTCAATCTGTATGTTTCTGCTTTTTTGTTATTCGCGATCTCGATACTTGTGAAGAACAGTTCTTTTGTAGAATATCCTCTCAAGTTAGGTTTGTCTCATCTTTTCGCACGATTAGAATGATGTTATGCATTTTGGGCAAGAATACCACAGAAATGCTGTTATGTCTTCTCAAGGGTTCATAATCTCGATAGTCTTATTACTGGATTTTATTTTCTTTAAAGAAATAAAACTGCACAGATAAAGTGACAAGTCAGTCTAAACACTTCCACTCCTGCCCCAGCAGTCCCCTTCCCGCTTCTCTTCTCAGCCCCCGTGTGACACCTGTCCCCACTGCTCCTCTGGAGCCGGCCTTGTTTTTGTCACTGACTTCCATGTTGCCAAACCCAGTGGCCACTTTTCTCTGCCCCCATTCGTCCCCTCGGCAGCATCGGACACGGAACACCACTCTCTGTCACCTTCACCACTTCCGCCTCCTTTCCTGGTCCCTCTTCCTGCTGCCCTGGGCTATTCAGCTGTTCAGATGGTGTGTGGACACCTCTAATGGGGCATGAAATGTTAGCATTTTTGTTGCTTTTTTAAATGAAATAGAGTAGAAAATATTAGAAGGCATTGCACGGTTGTGAGCATATAAGGTTTGTTGTAGGGGTGTGTGTGTGTGGGTGAGTGTGTGAGGGATGGGTTGCCATGTAAAATGTGTTTCTCACTGTGGGGACAGCCAGTTGGAAGCCATTGTTACAGATGTTGGGAATTTTCCAGCTCTGCGTTGGTTCCTCTTTAGCCAGTTCACTAGCTTTACACACCATCCACACGCTGAGGACTTGACATCTGGCCAGACCTTGCCGAAAGCCCCAGACCACTCGGCAGACCCACCAGCCTCTCCAGGCTGATTTGTCTCTTCTTCCTCCTTGAGGAAGCCTCTGCTCCCCGCATGCGCCCCTCCCAGTTCCTTGAAGGTGCCCAGCTCGTTCCTGCCTCAGGCCCTCGTGCTTCCCTGCTGCTCTTTTCTGGCTCCTCTCACCCTCAGGTGTCCTTTCCATAGTGTGACCACCCCGTCACGCTCTGTCACGTCACCCTTTGTTCCTTCCTTGCACTTGTCCCACTCTGCTCGTGGACCTGTGCACTGTTGTCTGTTTCTCTCCAGGATGTAGGCTCCGTGCGGGCAGGGGCCGTGTGTGTCTCGTTCTTGTTGTTTCCCAGGGCTTAACACAGTGCCAGGTGCCTACAGGCATCTAGTCGATATTTGCGGGTGAATATGTGAATGAATATTTCTGAAGCCACAGTAAATTGTTTCAAGTTGAGGTATTGATCTTCTCTTCTGAGCAAGTAGAGCTGGCTGTGGTTGGATGGCCTGGGGCTGAGCCCGGGCGGGGTGGGGCGGTAGACTGAGTCATCCATTCGCCCTTCTTTACCATGCTCACTTTCCTCAAGGAGCAAGCGGGAAGGTGTTGGGACACCTAGTGGCTGCGGAGAGACCACGTGTAGTTGATGCACTCATTCTAAGCTACCGCCTGTCCTCCTTAACTCTGTTTTTCTTCTTGTGACTTAGTGTTGTCTTTCATTTTCTTCCCCTCCAGATTCTCCCTTCTACACACATCCGCCCTTTCTCCCCACTGTGAATAAATATGGAACTGCAGTGTTACGTAAGAACAGATATTCCCTGTGTACAATGTTCAGAGCAATGCTAAAGAGAATTGGAAAGTCCTTAAGTCTCTTCCCATCTCCTCTCCACCATCCTGCTGATGGGTTGACGTGGCCCTGGAGGGTTCTGGACGGTGTGGGTTCAGCCCAAGTGCCAGTACCGCCTGTGGGTTCAGCTCCCGGTAGCCTTTGTACTCTGCACACAAGGTGCAAAATGCTAAGCTGACTGACATCATAGAGTAGGGCTTCAGTCTGTATATACAACTTGACTTGTCAAACTTTACGGGCTGTTTAGGACTGAATACACGTATGTGTTTTATACAGTGCCAACCCTAATGCCCTTCAGCTTAGTCCACAGAGAGGAGAGCTGCAAAACAGATTTTCCTCCTAACAAGAGTCTGGGTACCTAGACAGAAGCAATCCTGAGCCCGCTCTTCGGAAACGACTGGGGAATGGGTTGGAATTTTGAGGTGGGGTGTTACAGATGGCAAAGAGCTGCGAAGAGCCACTACTGGCAGAACCTCTGAGCACCAGGTTCAGCCCCTGCCCCTTTCCTGCGATGCCCAGCCTTGCTTCGCTTTTGTGCTTCATTCAGTGCGAACAGCCCTGCAGCCCCTTGAGTGCCTGGGTGCACTGCTCCGTGGGCAGCAGCAGAGCGTGTATCTAAGTGGAGAGTTCGGGAGACGCGCTGCAGACCTTGGGGACACTCTCCTGTACGGTGTCTCTGATGCTCGACTTGAGGTAAAGCGGGGCCCGCAGGGACCGTACGTCCTGCACAGGTTTGTTGTAAGGTCAGATGAGGGAGTGAAAACATTTGCCAGCTAAATAGAGATGTTAGGAATTAGTTATCCTTCTCTAAGGGTTTAAGAAATACCACCTATCTGATATCAAATCCTGCTCTAAAATCCATTAGCTGGATAGATGAATGCTTTGTCTGTATTGTCATTGTCTTAATCTGCTCAGGCTGCCGTCATAAACTACCCGGGGAGGGGGCGTAAACCACGTTGATTACTCACAGCTCTGGGGGCTGGAGGTCCGAATGAGGGTCCCACCGAGGTCGGGTTCAGGTGAGAGCCCTCTTCCTGGCTTGCAGACGCCCTCTTCTCCCTGTGTCCTCACATGGCGGAGAGAGAGAGTGTGCAAGCTCTCTGGGGTCTCTTCTCTTAAGGACAATGATCCCGTTAGGGCTGCACCCTCATGACCTCATCTGAACCTAGTCACCCCCCAAAGGCCCACCTCAGATACCATCGCTTTGGGGGTTAGGGCTTCAATGGATGAGTTTTGGGAGGACACACTTTGGTTCATAGCAGGCGTATATACAAAACTGCAAATTAGTGAATAAGGATTTGGCCTCATAAGGTGATGGTTAGACCGTAATTGTGGGGATTACACAAGATGGCGGCTAGACTATAATTGTGGGGGTTTACCAACAAATCCATTCCCCTCACAAAATGGAAAAGTGACTGAATTACTGTTTACTCTAATGTAGTCCCATATCCTCTGGAAGTAGCTTTTCCCTTTTTTGTTTTCTTCTCACTAACTTGAGTGTTATGTCTTTGCCTGATGAGTTTGTCCTGTTGAGTCTCTCAGTTCGTGTGTTGTAACGTGAGTGTGTTTTAAAGAGCTCTGTTTTATTTTGAAGGATGTTTCTCTGGGATGGTGTTCCCCTTGTTAAGCACATTTCTTAACAAGGGGTGAGGTAGAATCACCTGAAGGCGTTTTCAGACCACACCTGCTGGCCCCTCCTCAGACACACCAACTTAGACACTCCATTTGAGAAGCTCTTTAAGAGATGCAGGGGCACCCCATTCCGCCCCTCACTCCAGCAGATGGAAAGTGCTAAGCTATAGTTTGCCGTTAAGGGAAAAGGACTAAGGAATGAATTTGAATTGAGACCAAAAGATGGATTTTGAAGACAAAACGGTTATGGGACTCAAGACAGAACATAGGAGTGTCAGAGATTGTGGCAAGAAGACCAACATTAAATGACAGAGAAGACTGGGGATAAGAGCAGAAAGTAGAAACCTTGAAAGCTCCATGCTAGGGTCTTCCTTGGACCAAACACACAGACCTCGGATCTAAATCAGTAATTCTCAAACCGATCAGACCGGCTGACCCATTTAGTAGCACAGGCCCTTGGCCCACTCGCTCTCACTCAGCACTCAGCTGAAAGCAAATCAGCCTTCACCAGAGTGGCAGGTTGTTGTGGCCTTTGATAAGATGCCAAGGGTGAGCCTCGTATAAGTTTTAAAGTAAATACAAGCAATAAAATACTGGTATTCTTATATTTTTGGAGCCAGTGACCTAAATTAAATTTGAGTTTTACATCTCGTTGATACAGTGTGATGCTTATAAGCATGAATCCTGCAGATTACAAGATCTGCTGACCTCTGTTTCTTCATATTTAAAATGGGGACGATGATGATGCCAACGCCCAGTCGCAGAGCTGCTGTGGGCTGAGATGAGCTGCTCTCGTGAGAGCGCTCTGAAGCCCTGCATGCAGTCCGTCCTCAGTAACCCTCCGGCATGTTGCTGTCTGTTTCAGGGGGCCGAGGCCATGGTCCTGGAGAGCGTCATGTTCGCCATTCTCGCAGAGAGGTCGCTCGGGCCGAAGCTCTACGGGATCTTTCCCCAAGGCCGCCTGGAGCAGTTCATCCCGGTAAGATGTGTTCGGGGCCGGTCGGCTGACGCGTGCCACAGCTAGAAGATGAATTCTTTGTCTCGTCGCCTTGAGAGCCTGAGATGCTGTGGTCTGAAATAGTAAACGTGACGTGTATTATTAAACTCTCTCAGAAATTTAAAAAACTAAATTTTTATTGAATTTACATCAGAACCTCTGTCTTTCCTGCAAAGATAATATCCAAATCAAAAATATATGTGAAACTTAGCATCCTTGGTCCCCTAAAGCCGCTGGCCCTGAGGCTTGCCCCTTTCGCCTTGCTCCTCTCAACTTCGGGGCCTTCTTCGTAGAACTCACCGCGGAGCACCTTGGCCCCCACCACACCGCGAAGCCTCGCTGGTCTTTGTCCTGCGGGAGCCACCGCTCTTCTTTGCCTTATCTCCCTTTGTGCCCCTTACCTTAGAGGCCCCTGCCCCCTATGCCCGTCAGCTTCCTCTCACGTTTCAAGGCCATGCTCACATCCTGTTGCCAGGAGTCAGGACTGTGTTCCCTTTCTTGCTGTCCTGAGGCATTTTTAGTATTGCTGTAACATCGACCAGTGGGCCTTGTGTAGGTTATGTGTGCTGGCCCCGGCCCCTCCACACCCCATGCCCGCAGAGGGCTTCCAGCCTCAGGAGCTCCCGTTAGGTGAGTGTGGGGCGGCTCTGGGCTGAGCATGGCAGGCCTGCGTTCCCACTCAGATGTGGTGAAGGGTTCCCTCTCTTAACCTGTGTGAGCTCCTTGAGGACTAGAGTCAGGAATGGCCGCCTTTTCATGCCCTGTCTCGTGTGGTGTCTTGGCAACCTGTGTGTGCAGGCAGCACCAAGCGCAAGGACACCTGGCTGGCAGGATGCTCTGCTCACCAGGACCGGGGGCTGGAGGATGGAGTTCCCTTATCTAACCCCACAGCCCAAGGGCAGGAGCCGCCTTGTGATCTGTCTCCCCAGGAGGGGTACCGTCTCCTGGTGTACACGATGGCACCATATGTGCCAGCTGCCATCCCGGGGGTGTGTTGAAACGAATGCATGTTGCCCTCCCTGTACCAGTTACCTTTAGGCTCTTCCTTGGCGTTCGTCTTGGCACCTGGCTGTGTTTTTATGTATAATTTTCCCATTAAAGACAGTAATATCTGTCTGGCATGAGAATCAAACAAGATAGTCAAGCATTTGAAGGAATTTTGCAAATATAAAACACTTCATAGGTTACAAGTGGCAATATGGATGCATCTTAAAAACAATATTGAGTGAGAAATTTACATGGAAAATGTAAAGCTAATGTGCTCCAACAGGAACAGATCTCAGGATTCCGTGGTCCTCTCCCAGCAGAGAAACAGAGAAAGAGAAATACGAGGCTGTCTACCATTCCTAGGTCACTACCCCCAAGTGCCCTCTGAACGACAGCTACAGGATGGAATTCATCTCACCCTATGCAGCGGTCAAGAGTAAACCTGGAAATAACAGATGGCTAAGCCAAATGAAATTGCCATTTCTGTGGGTAAAAACAGTTAAATATTGGCAGCTTCATATGGTTCAAACCAGTATTTTAAGAGAATTTTTTACCAAATCTTCACTACGTAGTAAACGATACATACAACAGAGTATAGAACTTCAGAACTAGAACAGTACCAACTCCACAGACCCACAACCTCTGTGCCCTGATCCCAGCTCTGTTCTCTGCAAGACATTCCCATTATTCTGAGTTTTGTTCACTGGTCCCGGCCGTTTGTCAAGACCCACCTGGTCGGGTTCTGGCTCAGAGCCCTCACCTGTGTTGTCAGCTCTAGTTCAGGGCAGACCTGCCAGGGGCTTAGTGTCGTGGCTCCCATTATACAGAGACCAGAAAACGGGGCACAGACGCATAAGGGACGTGCCCTTGGCCATGTAGCTTTGAAATGAGTGTTAATTAATTTGGTTAATTTGACCTGGGGTTTCTGTACCTCGGGGGCACCCGCTCTTAACCCCTGTGCTGTACCGCTTTGGACTTTCCGAGGAATATCTCTTTGGGTTCTGTAGGGGAGCAGTTCATGTGGAAGAGATGAACAGGTCTTAGGGGATGTGAGCTCCCTGAGTGGCTGTGAAAGGACAGCCTGACGAGCACGGCCTCAGCCTGCAGTAGCGGAAGCTGGAGTCAGCCCTGCTCGGCGCCCCTGTTTCTCTGTTCGTCTTGGCCCTCTGAGAGCCTGCTCTGTGCCAGGCTAGGTGCTGGGGACACCTCCAGAATGAGTGGGAGATGGCTCCCTCTGAGCTCATTCGCCACTCTCATTCAGGCCTGCTCTGAACACCCCGTCTCACCTGCGCTGTGTCAGAGTGGGAGGTCTGAGCTGACAAAGGAGCTGGACGCTGGGTCACGTGAGAAACTGCTGCAGGCCTCGAGTTTCTAGCCTGGAGAAGAGGCCGTGCTTTTAGTGTTCGTCAGAGTGAACAGAGGGCAAAATCATAGATTATATGGTTGTATATGAGGAAGACTTTCTCACAGTTAAAAGGATTCAAAATGAAGTCAACCTTAGGAGGTGGCCTGCCGTGACTGAGAAGCGCCACAGCAGTTGCTGGGTCACCGGCTGCGGGCACAGTGCCTGTTCTTAAGGGAATTTGTGCACCGAGTGAGACTCGGATGCCCCACAGGAGCTGGCTTCTGGTTCCTGCGATGGTGGGATCTCACACTTGGAGGTCACCCGGATACAGGCCATTTTCTAACTCTCTTTTGTTCCAGAGCCGGCGATTAGACACTGAAGAATTAAGTTTGCCGGATATTTCTGCAGAAATCGCTGAGAAAATGGCTACGTTTCATGGTATGAAAATGCCATTCAATAAGGAACCAAAATGGCTTTTTGGAACAATGGAAAAGTAAGTGGTCAGATGGCCTGGCTCTAACTCCGTCTTACACTGGTGGCTCCCAGGGGTGCCAGGAGGGAGCACTTGTCAGCCATGGTGCTCGGCTGGTGTGCAGGTGGTGTCTGTCTCGTGCATAAATCTTTCTTGCGTGTAAAAATCAATTCCTGAACCAAGAAAGAAGACTATTTGCAGAAATGCTACTGAACAGGTGGATGGGCAGAAAATCCGCTTTCTAGAGTGCACTGAACCCCAGGCCCCACCCTCCCCCTCTGTGGAGATTGGGGGTCCCTACAAGTATCACATGGTTACCTTTAACTGGGACCCCAAGAATAAACCACGATGAGTTAGGCAATGATCCCTTGTTCCTCCTTTTTTCCAAGGTACCTAAACCAAGTGCTGAGAATTAAATTAACTGGGGAGTCCAGAGTTAAGCAGCTCCACAAATTCCTCAGTTACAATCTGCCTTTGGAACTGGAATACCTGAGGTGAGTCTTCACTTCCATTGCCTGACTTAGTGAGGACATCTGTCCAGAAATTTAAATCTTCTTGGTCACTAAAACTATTGCTAAGGCACATTCATTAAGCGTTGCTGTAGGTCTGGCTTTTCCTTGGGTTTTGCAGGCCAACTGTGAAAAGATGGATTTTGTGAGTGCTGTCACTTCTCTGGTCATCCTTTTTGTGTGTGTGTGTGTGTGTGTGTGAGGAAGATCAGCCCTGAGCTAACAGCAATGCCAATCCTCCTCTTTTTGCTGAGGAAGACTGACCCTGGGCTAACATCCGTGCTGGTCTTCCTCCACTTTATGTGGGATGCCACCACAGCATGGCCTGACAAGCGGTGCCTCAGTGTGCACCCGGGATGGGGATCGGAACGCGGGCCGCCAGCAGCGGAACGCGTGCACTTAACCACTACGTCACGGGGCCGGCCCCTCTCTGGTCATCCTTGAAGGTGTCCCCGAGGAAGTAAAATTCCAGAGGAATGGTCAGTGACTCGGGCAGTAGGTTTTTTCTGAAACAAAAACAGAAACCAAAACAAAAGCCATGGGGGCAGGCTGGGAAGTGTAAGCGGATGAGGGGAACAGTTCAGCCCAAGTGCTGGGGGAAATGGGGTAGGAACCCTGACACCAGTCTCTGAGTAGAGGCTTCCATGGTGTCTTTGGGGGTTGGGGGGCAGGCTACTAGCGCACATCCCCTGAGCGTGAGTATTTACACCTTTAATTACTCAAATATTTGAGTGTCTCCTCTGCCGGGCGTTGTGATTGGTGCTTTGAGGAAATGGTGACCAAGACATTTTTCAAGGAGCTCCTGTTTTATTAGGAGAGACAGAAAACAAGTCAACAGATGAAATAATGTCAGGGTGTGACAAGTGCTGTGAAGGGAACCAGAGGCCAAAATAGACCGGCATAGAAGGGTCTGCTCTGGGTCAGTGGTCAGGGAGGGGCTCTCTGAGGAGGGACTGCAGGCCAAGACCAGCTGCATGAGGAGGGGTCGTCCAGGAGAGGAACAGCGTATGCAAAGGTTTGGCCGCAGGAAAGAGCCGCGTGTCCTCAGGGGCCCGTGTGTATTTCCAGTTTGAGCTGCCGTAGAACTGTCACCACATTGTGACAGAGTTTTCAGAATTTGTGTGAAAATTATACAATACAAGGAGGCTGTGTGTTGATTTGGAGCACCCAGTCAGTGCTGGGCATGCTGAGAAAGCCGAACCGTTTGCATCCAACTTAAAAGTTTGATAGGGGGCCGGCCCCGTGGCTTAGCGGTTAAGTGCACGCTCTCCAATGCTGGCGGCCCGGGTTCGGCTCCCGGGCGTGCACCCAAGCGCCGCTTCTCCGGCCATGCTGAGGCCACGTCCCACATACAGCAACTAGAAGGATGTGCAGCTATGACATACAACTATCTACTGGGGCTTTGGGGGGAAAATAAATAAATAAATCTTTAAAAAAAAAAGTTTGATAGGTAATAACAAAACCTTCCTTTTCCAGGTCATTGCTTGAATCCACTCCATCTCCGGTTGTATTTTGTCATAATGACTGTCAAGAAGGTAAGAATCGCTACTTGTTGTGCTAGAGATGGGGTTTGTGTGTGTACGTGCAAGACTGCCTCGTGTGTGCATGAGAAGTCCTGGTGTCCACGCAGAGAGAATTAGGTGCATTACATTACAGCACAGTGTAATGTGTATAACTGTTAAAGAGAATGAGGTCAAGTTTTATACAGACCAGCAGAAAAATCTCCAGGAGATATTAAGAGAAAACAAGTTTTAGAAAGACATGTAGGGTATCATGCCATTTCTGTAAAAAATATAGTTATGGAAAAAAATCTGAGCATGTTCACTAAACTGGGAGCTGGGATAAAGGACTTATCTTTCTAAGTCACACATTTGTTCAGTGTTTAACTCTTTTCAGTAAACGTGTGTGACTTTGTTAATCTGAGACAGCGTTAAAGAACAGGCTGACCTCCTCCCTCGGCCCCGGGGCCCTCGCCTTCCGAACATGCAGCACAGTGCGGCCATCAAAGCCGCCCCCTCTCTCAGCATGGGCGCACGTGCAGTCCCTGGCAAAGACAAGCCCTCAAGAAGACATTGGTCTGAGCCAGAATACCTTTTACTAATGAGCTGATCGTTGCTGGCCAGGTCAAGTCAGGCAGGGTGTAGACAGGTCAGCCGCGGGCGACAGTGAACTGCGCAGACATCAGCAAACGGGTCTGAGGGAGGTCAGCCGGCCAGTGAGGACCGACACCGGGAAGGGTAGAGGAGGCCGAGTCGTACGTTGCCTGTGTTCCGCTGCCTTGGCCATCTGCTTCCAGTTCTCCTTTCAGTGGCCGCTGGAACGGGAGATGTGTGCTGACACGCTGGGCAACTGTGCCTCCTACAAAAACCCTGGGAGGGGAAGGGGCCAAAACACTGGCAGAGGCTGGCTCGCCGGTGCCTGCCCGCCAGCCCCTCGGTGACTGAGATGCTGAGCGTTGTGTAGAGTCGGGGGGTCTCGGAATGGAAGCCTGCAGAGCCAGTGTGGTGGCCAACCCACTTCTGGCCTGGAATTCAGCCCTAAAGGAAATATGATTGTAGGAATGCTGCCTGAGGTCTCCTCCTTGCAAGGAAAACCAGGGGAGGGCGAAGCCGTGGGGCCAGGGGTGGTCCGTGGAGCTCATCAGAGGGGACACCAGGACACAGGTGCCCAGCCAGTGGGCCACAGCCAGCCCACCTCAGGGCTGCCGGGGGTGTCGGGGCAGCCAGAGCTCCAGCGTGCCAAGCAGGCACTTTCCTTTGTGCCCCCATGTCAGAAGTTGGGACGCACTGCTCCAGAAAACCAAGGGAGAGCCCATGCTCTGCTCCCCAGTGAGCCCAGGGCTGTGTCACTCTTGGGCTGCTGTGAACAGGGGCTCTCGTGCCGATGTGCACCGGAGCCCATCTGCTGGGTGCCAGGCCTCTTGGGGCTGTGCTGCTCCTGGGCTCCGTCCTGTGGCTGACAGCCTGTGGTCGCTCAGGATTCCCTGAGAGGATCAGAACCCCTTGGCTCTGCCTTGCACGGACCAGCGCCTTTGATGATAAAATGTGCCCAGAGGACAAGTCATGTCATTCAGACCGCTTTGCAGGTAATATCTTACTGCTGGAAGGGAGAGAGAATTCTGAGAAACAGAAACTGATGCTCATCGACTTTGAATACAGCAGTTATAATTACAGGTAAATGTGTTTATTTTAGTATTTTATTATTTTGATACATGTATAAAACAATTATAGGACAAAATAGGTAGCAATCCTATTCTAAACTGGACGTGTCTTCAGCTGGAAGCTAACACTTGTTGTCCATGGCCTCTGGTGGCCACATGAGATGGCACAGCCTGTCCTTAGCTCGCTGTGTTAGAGGGGAGCAGTGATGTGAGTCATCAGACCCAGAATTTGGTATTTGCTTTGGCTCAGAGATGATTCCTTTTCATAAAAGTACTGATTGCAGGAGGAGGATTGGACGGTTACTCTGCAGTAGTGGGTCAGGTGGCACTTCTGTAGCTCAGTTGGCCGTGATTCTGGTGATCACCCCGTCGGCTATCCCCTGCACAGCTGGCTGTGCCGGACACTGAAGCGTCGTGCTCTTGGGGTCTCAGGAAATCCAGCTTGTCGGGAGGGATGCTCACAACTCGGCCTTTTTCCTTCTGTAAACAGGGAGCCTCGTGGCGGGCCAGTTTGCCTCATTCTCTGCTCTGAACTCTTTTTCAGGGGGTTTGACATTGGGAATCATTTCTGTGAATGGGTGTACGATTATAGCTATGAAAAGTACCCTTTTTTCAGAGCAAACAACCTGAAGTATCCCACCAGGAAACAACAGGTGAGAGACTTATGTTTATGTACCTGCTAATAGGTAAATTACATAAGTCAATTTTATGCAGTTAGAATTGATTACGTCTTCATTTTTAAAGATGCTCTTTTTAAATTGTGTAGTGGTGGTAAACGCTTTTGCTTTGTGTTGTTTTTTCTGTTAAATGTAGACACACACTTGACGCTTGAGTCCAGCTGTTTTAAATCTCTGTATCAGAAATACCTGTATTCAGAGAGGAGAGCACCGTTTCATTAGGCTGTGGATCAGTTCAAGTTTCTGTCTTCATTTGCCAGTTTGAGCGTTTACTCTCTCCCAGAAATTAACCTGCCAGCGTGGTGGTTCAAGCAGGGGTTTTAAAAATTAATCTGCCTGGATGTGAACCCCAGCTCCCGGCTGCTGGCTGTAACTGACTGGATGTTTCTGTGCTTCCGTTTCCTCATCTGCAAACATTTTTCATTGTCATGAGGAGGGAGCAAGTTAACATGCAGAAACGGGCTCAGAATAGTGCCTGTTCCAGAGACATTAACGGGTGTGAGCAGGCATCTGTTCTGTGCCAGTTTACTTCAGAATGTGAGGCCCCTTCCGGGACCCCGTGCCTGGGACAATGCTGAAACTTGACTGATGCTTCCTGGTGCTGGAGGTGGGGCAGCACGTGAAAGCTGATTTCAGAGAAGGAAGAGGGAAGAGGTGATACTGGGAGAGGTGGTGGAGGAAGCAGTGTTGGCATTGCAGCTGGGTAACTAATTAGCGAGTCCTTATAGGGAAGACTGACTGACAGCCGTGTTATGTACAACAGAAAATCGGGGGCTTGCTCTGTCCTGCTTACCTTCTATATAGTACGAAATAGTCAAGAACAAGGGATCTCATACATCCTGATTCACATGTAGCCTCAATGTGGAACCTGCTAGAACCTTGGGTCAACTGTCTCTCCTCTAAACCAAAATTAGCTGCTGCCAATTTATGAGCATAAGTGTGTATAGCACTGGCACCTTAGAAGTGGAAGGCCCCTTTGCATTGTCTGGTCCAGCTCCCACTCTGAGGCCGCAGCTGCTGACGAGCATCAGGTTGCCCAGAGCCTCGTGCCTGGTGGGCTGAGGCAGTGCCATGGGGAATGCTGGCCAGTCTGGGGAAAGGTTTGATGTAGGCTTACCCTGCTGTGCGATCAGACAGTGAAAAACCTGAGTGTGGATTCAATTAGAAAAACTGATTCTACCCAAATTACTTTCTCTAAAAATAGTAGCTGGTTTCCTGTACCTGTCTTGTCAAGAGTACAGCATTGGGTCCATTAGCACTCTGACTGTGAGCTGCTGATCACTGCTAGGGAAGGTGAGCTGCAAGTTCCCCATCCCTGGGCAGAGCAGTGGGGTGGGCTCTGCCAGGCTTCTCTGCCGTGATCTGGAGGAGTCACGCTGGATGTGTGCGCTTCATGACAGCTTGACCTCGTCTATTTTTAACTGTCATTGATCCTAACATAATTACTTTTTTTTAAAGCTCCATTTTATTTCCAATTACTTGGCTGCATTCCATAATGAATTTGAAAACTTCAGTAATGAGGAAAAGTCCATTATAGAAGAAGAAATGTTGGTTGAAGTCAATAGGTAATTGTTTTCCTTTGTTGATTTCTACAGAATGCTACCTCTCTATAGAATGTATTTAGGATGCCTGCTTGCAATTATGAGTGTTTTAGGAGCTTCTTTGTAACTGTACATCTCTAGGACTTGTACTTTGTCACAAATAGAACATTTGGTACTTCTCTGCGTGGCAGGTTTCACAGAAGGTAAGGAGAACAGGGTCGTGTACCAGGAGGGCAGGACGCTTGGATGGAGTTCCGAACTCTGATCCGTGCATGAGACTCAGCCATACGAGGCTGCTGCCCCCAGGGCCTGCGCACCCTTGTCTCTGATGCCTCTGGGGTGGTGGGCGCCACCTAATATTCTGTTTCTCCTGGAAAATAATTAAAAATCGTGTGTATAGGTTCTGAGTCTTGCTTTTAACTGTTTTCTCAACAGCTCTCAAAGCAGGGCTGGGAAATTTCCAAATTCTGCAAATCTGGGTACTAGACCACTGTTTATTCACACTCAGTCATCTCTTTAGTCAAGAGGCCTGAGTTATTCCTAGTCTTTGGGGTCTCCTGTGAGATTATTTGGTAAAAACGACTGTTTAGGTAACTTTGGTCCACTTTGTTCTGTCTACTTCATGTAGCGCAGATCACCTCTTCATGGTCTTCAGAAGTGTCTGCACCCCCTCAGTGAGCACACGGCCCTCCAGCTGCCCCTCAGCTCCACTTGCAGCGTACATTTTCCCTCTGGTTCTCGAGCAGATGGAAGTAGAAAAGGGAGGTGGAGGAGGCCTGGACAGACAGGGCAGCGCCAGGGGTTCGTGGGTCAGGGACCGCCAGAACAGAGGCGGGTGTGGTGAGGGTTCATTCATCCCTAGGTCACAGCTTTACCTTCCTCTGAATGAAGCCCAAACGTGTTATTTTGAGGAGAATTTGGATTCACAGTGACAGAGGGGCGTGGAACAGCCTAGAGACGGGGACTCGGCTCCCACTCTCCTGGCCTCTGTTTCACCTTCGTGTGAGAGGAGGGCGTGGGGTGAGAGTGTCATCCTGCCTCCTGGGAAAGGCAGCCAAGTGTTCGGAGGCCCGTTGTCCTCCTCGTGCTGATTAACGTGCGTGTTGGTTGCGGATGCTTTGCACTCACACGCGTGGCAGAGAGCGTGTCTCGGTATAGCCCGTGCTTTGCCAGCGTGTCCACCAAGGCTTCCGTGGGAGTCCTGTGAATGTGGTTATGTGTGCCAGAAACAGGCAGTTGGGTGTGTTCACACCTGCCACCGGCCAGAGGTGGGGGGAGGACAGCGATGGCGCTCCCGCTATTCTCAGTCGCTGTGGAAAATACCCCCATTGAGTCTGCCAAGGCAGACAGAGTTTGCGTCCAGACGAGTTAAACTGTCACCCAGCAGGAAGTGACTGCATTGGTCCTCTGGCTGGTACCACACGTCTCATGTGCGTTTCCTGCTTTTGTAATTACAGGTTTGCCCTTGCGTCCCATTTCTTGTGGGGACTTTGGTCCATCGTACAGGCCAAGATTTCATCCATTGAATTTGGGTACATGGTATGTTTTGGGGTGGTTTTTTCTTCTACTCCCAGGAAAAAAATGCTACAGTGTATGTGAATGCAGAGGGTTACCTGGTCCCCCCAAGTACCTGAATGAGGTCACTGGCATCGGGACAGTGGGCTGAGGGAGAAAGACTGTGTGATTGAAGCTACTGTCACTGAGGCTGAGTCTACCTCTGGAGGTTGCCCTCACTCCAGGGCCAGCAGGCCCTGCCTTCCCTGCTTCGGAGAAGAGCCGTGTGGTCCTGGTGGGGGATGTGGAAATCCTGACCCTAGAGGTCCAGCCCCTGACCTCAGTCCCTTCTGACAAAGGGACACTGGGTGAAGGAGTGCGGGGGTGCCTACCCGTGCCTTGAAGTGTTCATCTGTTACCATTCCATTCTCCGGCCTGCAGTGCCCAGCTTAGAGGTGGAAGCTGGTGCTGGTTGAATTAGACCTCCTCTTGGTTGCAGGCAAGTTTGTACCAAGCCAGGATGTCATTTTATTCTCACCTTAAGCGCTGTCCTTGACACAGACACTATTTGAACCTTTAGTTAATACTGAGTGTTGGGGTGTCCCCGGGCAGGGTGCACAGGAGTCTGTAGTGAGCACCTTGCTTCCGGACAGGTGGTGGGAAATGACTAGTTCATTTTGTCCTCCTCAGTCTCGTATTAGGATGATTTCTGCTTCTAGGCAGAAGGTTTGGAATGCACAGATGCTATTAAGCAAAAGAAGAAGGGGAAATTTCGATTTTTAAAGCAGATTTGGGTCATGGTCAAGTGCTACTGTAAGACAAAGTAGACTTCAGAAAAGGAGCATTACCAAAGATAAAGAAGGCATTTCCTAATAATAAAGGGGCCAGTTCATCCAGAGGACGTAAAAGAATACTGTGTCTGTGTCCCTGTTTTGCTTTAAAAGACATCATGCAAAAACTATAACAAAACTGAAAGAAGAGAGAGGCAGATTCACAAAGTAGATTTCACCCCCCATCCCCTCTGTCATGGACAGAACCAGTAAACACCACAGCAGGAAGGATGCTAGGTTTGAACAACACTCAACCGACCTGACCTGATGGACCGTTACTGAATACTCAACAACTGCAGAAGACACGTCCTTTTCCACGAATAGGGAACATTTGTCAAGATAGACCATGCGCTGAGCTATACAACAGGCTTCAACTTTAAAAGGATTGAGATAATACAGAGTGTGTTCTCTGACCACGGTGGAATTTAATTGGAAATCAGTAACAACAACAACAAAAAGATATCTAGGAAATTCTCAATTATTTGGAAATTAAACAGTACATTTCTAAATAAACCCTGGATCAAAGAAGAAATTAAAAGGACAATTAGAAAGTATTTGGAAGTGACTTATAATGAAAACACAACGTATCAGAATTTGTGGGATGTAGCTGAAAGCAGTGCTTAGAAACTTATGGCTTTGTAGCTTAAATGTTTGTATTAGATAAGAAGAAAGTTCTCAAACTGATGACCTAGCCTTCTACCTTAAGAAGCTAGAAAAAGAAAAACCAATTAAGCCCAAAGTAAATAGAACTAAAATAAAAGTAAGAGCAGAAATCATTGAAGTAGAAAATGGACAAAAAATAGAGAAAAATCAATGAAACCAAAAACGTTGGTTCTTTGAAAAGATCAATGAAATTTATAAACTGGCCATATGAGCAAGAAAAAAGAGAAGACAAACATGTACAATATCAGGTACAAAAAGAGGACATCACTACAGATCCAACAGATGTCAAAAAGGTAAGAGAATATAAGGAACAACTTGATGCTAGCAGATTTGACAGCTTCCGTGAAATGTGCAAATTTCTTGCAAGATAGAAATTCCCAAAACTGACACAAGAAATGGCCATATATTTATAAAATAGGTTGAATTCATAATCAAAAACCTTCCTATAGAGTAAACTGTAGGTCCTGGTGGATATCATCAAACATTTAAGGAATAAATAATACCAGTCCTACACAAACTTTTAGAAAATAGAGGAGGAGGGAACATGTCCCCACTCATTTGATGAGGCGAGGCCAGCAGTTAGCCTGATATCAAAACTAGACAGAGACGTTTCAAGAAAACCGCACCTCAGTGACCTGCGTGAACATTACACAAAAATCATTATCAAAATATTGGCAAAAATTAAATCCAACATACATAAAAGGATAGTATTTTATGACCAAGTGGCATCTATCCCGGAATGCAAGGTTAATCTAACATTTGAAAAAGCAATTAGTGTAATTCACCATATTAACAGAATAAAGGAGAAAAACCCATACAGTCATCTCGGTGGATGCAAGAAAAGCATTTGACAATAATCCAACATCCACTCAAAGTGGAAAATCTCAGCAAACTCGTAATAGAAGGAACTTCCTCAACCAGAGAAAGGGCAGGTATGGAAAACCTACGGCTAAGGCCATAATTATTGGTAACAGACTGAATGTTCTGCCCGCCTCTGCCCCATAGAGAGCACGGCGAGGACGTTTGCTGTCCCTGCTGCTCTCCCACAGGGTGCTGGAGCGCCTGGCCAGTGCGTGAGGCAAGAAAAAGAAAGAAAATGCAAAGATACTGGAAAGGAAGAAGAAAAACTGCCTTTATTTCATAAGACTTGATCATGTACATGAAACAATATGAAAGAATCAACAGAGAAGCTATTTAAACTACTGAGTGAGTTTATCAAGGTCACAGGATACAAGGATACAATATACAGAAACCAGTTGCATTTCTGCATGCTAGAAACAATTGCAAATGAAAGAAAATTGTGTTTACAATGGCATTAAAAACACGAAATACTTAGGGATAAATTTTTTAAAATATGTGCATGATCCGTACATTGAACACTATAAAACATTGCTAAGAGAAACTAAATAAATGGAGAGAGATACCACATTTATGGATTTTGGAGACTCAATATTAAGATGTCTGTTCTCCCCAAACTGATCTATGGAGTCTCCACGATCCCAATGAAAATACCCACTGGATTTTTGGTAGAAATTGACAAGCTGATTCTAAAATTTATGTGAAAATGCAAAGGACCTGGAATAACTAAAACACTATAACTAGAACAAAGCTGGAAGACTTATGCTACCTGATTTCAAGACTTACCAAGCTCAGTAATCCAGACAATGTGGTGTTGATGTACAGACAGACATAAATCAAGTGGCACGTTCAAATAGAGTGCCTTGAAATAGACTCACATATATATAGGGAAAGGATTATATTTTCAAAAAATGATGTGGGAATAACTGAATAGCTATATGGAAAAACAATAATGAGCCTTGATCTCATGCCATACACAAAAATTAACTTGCAACTGATAATAGACCTAAATGTAAAGCTAAAACTATTAAGCTTCTAGAAAGCATAGGAGAAAAGCTTTGTGACTGTGGCAGAGATTTCTCAGGTTACATAAAGCACTGACCATAAAAGAAAAAAATACAATAAATTGGACTTAAAAACTTTCTCTTGGAAAGACACCATTAAGAAAATGAAGAGACGAGCCACAGACTGGGAGAAAATCTTGCAAATTTATATCTGACAAAGGACTGGTATTTAGAATATGTAAAGAACTCATAACTCAGCAAGAAACCAAACACCCACTTTATAAACGGACAAAAGATTTGGACACTTCATGGAAGATAAATGTCCAGCAAGCATCTTTTCCTGTGCTTAATATAATTAGTCATACAAGAAATGCAAATTAAAACCCCGATGAGATACTATGCACACCCATGATGATGGCTAAAACTATAAAAAAACAGTGCCAAGTGTTGGCAAGAATATGGAGCAACTGGAACTTGCGTACATCGCTGGTGGTAACGTCAGAGGGTGTGAGCAGTCTGGAAAACAGTTTGACAGTCTCTTATCAAGTTAAACGTACACTTACCATACAACCCAGCAATCCTCTCTGGTGTTTGATCCCAGAGAAATGGGAACATAGTTCTACACCAAGACTTGTATTCAAATGCTCATAGCAGCTTTATTTTTAATAGCCCCAAACTGCAAACAATCTACATGATAATCAGCAGATGAATGGAGAAGTACACTGTGTTGGATCCACATAATGGAAAACCACTCAGCAAAAAACAGGAATGAAGACTGGATGAGACGACAGCAGGGACAATCCCAGAAACGCACTGCTGAGTGCGAGAAGCCAGAGAAAGAAGGGCACCTCAGGGAGGATTCCACGTGTGTCAGAGCCTTCTGTCGCAATCCGTAGTGACTGGAATCAGGTCAGAGTCCACCATGGCCAGGAATAGGGGTGGGGTGACTGCAGAGAGGCCCGAGGGAACTTGGGGGGTGCTGGAAATGTTATCATGATTGTGGTGCTGGTGGTGAACTGGCTGTATGCATTTGCGAAAACTATTGAATGGTATGTTTAAAATGAGGTAATTTTTTGGGCTGGCCTGGTGGCGTAGTGGTTAAGTTTGCACGCTCCACTTTGGCAGCCCGGGTTCTTGGGTTCGGATCCCAGGTGTGGACATATGCACCGCTTGTCAAGCCATGCTGTGGCACGCGTCCCACATACAAAGTAGGGGAAGATGGGCACAGATGGTAGCCCAGGGCCAATCTTCCTCAGCAAAAAGAGGAGGATTGGCAACAGATGTGAGCTCAGGGCTAATCCTCACACACACACACACACACACACACACAAAATACAGTAAAATGAGTTAATTTTTGTGGTATATAAATTATATTGCAACATTAAGTTTTTAAAAAAGTGATTTTGTAATCTTGGCAGTTAGCATAGCAGACTTTTCGATTTGGAGTGGGTCCTTAAGAGATCATGTCCATCATGGACAGGGTTGGGCACCAGACCCAGAGCAGTACAGTGGCCTGACAGTTCCAGAATAAACAGAAGCCAAACCAGGTTTTCTCCCTTGGTAATTCTTAGTAATCCTGCTGCAGGTGCTCCCAGAAAACAGGTGGCACCTTCTTTCTTTCTTTCACCTTCTTCTATACTTGCTAACGCCCCAGGGCCCTTTTGCTTTAGAAGAAGGCCCTTCGTTACGTCCGTCAGCCAGTGTCGGCAGCATTCCCGGTAAGCAGAACGCGCACCAGGAAGCGCCACACGTGCAGCGCGTCCCGGCTGCGTGCAGGACCCGGCCAGGTCCCTTTGAGATGGAGGGATGGCCGTGAGCAGTGCTGACAGCCCGAGAAGACTGTCTCTAAAGCAGGCTCGGTTCCTGGACAACCTGCAGCGGCTGTTCCCTCCTGTGCTGCGGCCTGGGCGGGACGCGGGCAGCGTTGGGCCTGCGGGAGCCCTTGGTGAGGCTGATCTTCCTTATGTCTCCTAGGACTACGCCCAAGCACGGTTTGATGCCTATTTCGACCAGAAGAGGAAGCTCGGGGTGTGACTGTGGGAGGACCTGGTTCACTTATCCCTGGCCTGCACGGGGGCGGCTGAGCCAGCGGCCCCTCTGTGCTCCGACTACTGTACCTGCGGCAGGAGGGCTTGGCTTCTCTCTGCCCAACACAGATGTGTATCATACGAAAGACTGGATTAAAATTGAGTAACATTTCTTCCCTATCTTGTTTACAATTTCACTAGGACCCTGGAATGAGATGGGGAGGCAGAAACATAGTGCAATAGTGCAGTATGTCAGAATCCTTTCGTCTAGAGGAGGCATCTCACATTTGGGGCCTGAGGCTCAGTGAGATGTGGCAAACTGTTACTGTGGGTTCTTTTTTTGGTTAATGTTGATTTCCAAAGGATTTTCATTGGCGCGCTGGTGAACACTGTGACGAGGCTCTCTGTAGGAACCACGCGTGTGGACACTGCTCGCTCCCGAGGGCGGCGAGAGAGCTGAGACAGTCTGCGACCTCGCTCTGCGGCCCGACCTCAAGTCTCCGGAAGCTGCTCCTTCACCCTTTGGTCCAAATGGCTGACACTTGAGACAGCAGACTGCACGTGACGGGCGCGAGCTCTCGTCTGCGTACACATGAATGTTGCTGCTCGGACCTGTAGTACATATTTTGTCATGCGGACGAACCTCACCCTAACTGGATGCTCTTTCTTAACCCCAGCTGCAGGCAGGTGGTGAGCTGCAGCCACAGAGGGCCAACGGCTGGACAAGGGGCCGCCTGGGGACGTGCAGACACATGCCTCCTGTCTGCCTTCCCTTTGTCCCACTGTCTGCAGGCTTTTCTCCTCCACCTCTGCTCAGCCTGGAGCCAGGACATCTGTGACATGCTGGCTGCCCCAGGGCCCCTCGGAGCCTCGTGCTGCCCCTGGCGCCGGGGCCTTGGTGTGCCTGGCGGGGACAGGGGAACCCTGGTCTGGGCTCTTGGTGGCCAGCCCTCCCCGCCCTCAGTGCCCCGATGTCCCAGACGTGGTCACTGGTGGGAAAGCAGCCTGTACGTGGGTTGGGAGGCATGGATAGAGCGTAGCTGTGAAATCCAGACATGTTCATGTCCTTGGGATACATTCTTTTTTTTATCTCTGAACTCTTATTTGAATTGTTTTTTGTGCATACATTTCTGCTCCCACAGAGACTGTACTATACAGACAATAAAAGTAAAAACCCACCCTTAGCTGTCACCCTTGGTGTGTCCTTGGGGGCTCCTGTCACCTTACTGTGCCTCCGGAAGGCTCCCAGTGCGTCCACGCAGCTCCTGCTGCTCCCTGGCTGTCTGGAGCTCTGGGAGGACCTGGAAGCAGCTGGGAACAGTGGTGTGTCTGGGAGGAAGCTGAGCGGCTGGGCCAGGGCAGGCGGGAGACGTGCCATCGCTCACCCTGCTGGACGTTTCAGACTGGACCAGGTGAAGGTGTTTGGATAGCTCAGCTATCGACGACACTGCTGTCCTGCGTAAGCTCTCACTTAGAGCGAAGCTCCCCACTCCTTCCTCAGCCCTGCCGGCCTCAGCCCCTCCGCTGCAGCCGCGCTCTTCCTTAAGATGCCGGCTCACGCGCGCTTCCCTTGGCCGGGGTGCACTGGGGCCGGGTCTTCACATGATGGCTCCTTCACATGCTTCCACGGTGAGCTCAGAAAGTCACCGCTCAGGCCTTTCCACACGCCTTCATCTAAGGCGGTTCCCTAGTCCGTCCACAGCCCCCGCCCCGGCCCATCACTTTTATCCTCTAGATGCTGCTTTTCCTGGAATTCTGATTGGTTCGCTCAGGTGTCTCCTGCATTAGACCATAAGCCCGCGTGAGCAGGGATCAGGCCTGTCCCCAGTGCCGGTGACCCACCGTTCCCGTGTCTCCTGATGTTGGCCTCCGGGTCCCAAGAGCGCCCCCTCCAGTGCCTCTGCCTGTGCTGGTCCCACAGCAACCAGACTTCTGCAGACAGGCTGCCAGCGTCCCAGCGTCAGGGCAGAGCAGGGCCAACCGACGTCTGCCTGGGATCACAGCTGCCTCCCCCAACAACACGCCACACACTCAGCCCTGATGGCTGCTCGGGGTCCCTCTGCCAGCATCCCCACCTGTGGGGCTCTGCCCAGAGCTGGTGTTAGGCTTAGGGCCCTGGGCTCAGTCCAGATCCATCTGCAGCCCTGCTGGGGCCCACGCACAGCTTCCTCTGTTCCCAACCAGACAGACACTGCAGTCAGTGTTTCTTGGAGTCAAGTCTCTACCACGCATGTGGGATGGACATGCAGCCCCTTGGACCCCAGCCCGGCATCTGGGGGCCCTGAGCAGGGCAGTCTCAGACCCGAGGGAGAGGATCCTCAAGCGGCTGGCCAGATGAGAGCCAGTGATGTGGCCAAGCCACTCGCTTGCTGTGCCCAGGGTGTCGCTGGCCTCAAAGCGGCCTTTGTTCCCGGGGCCTCCAGCCGGAAGAACCACTTTGCAGCTCCTTGGCCAGACAGAGCAAGACCTCTGAGAAGCGCTGGCTCTGCCTCCCAGCTGGTGGTGGGACCCAGGCCCGAGAGACCTGCCGAAGGACAGCCTCAGGGGAGCAGGACTGCCTACCCTGGGAGGGATGGGAGAGACTGCAGCCTCCAGTGACAGGGAGGCAGGGCCTGGAGTCCGGCTCAGCTCTCTTCCTGACCCTCGGGGCCCTAGGCAGTTCCTGGACTGGCCTGGACAGCCCCTGCCCTTCTCTGCAAGACAGTCGCCTCGGGTGTGTGTGACACCACTGCCCGGCGTAGAGTGCCGGGTCAGGCTCAGGTGTCCCAGGCTGCTCTCTGCTTCAGAGCATCGAGTGCCTGGGGCCAGCACCAGCTCGGGGTCATGGGAACATAGGCCAGTTCGTGCCAGCACCACCCTCCACACCCAGGGTATCCCAAGCATTCTCTTACAGCCAGTTTGCACACCCCTGAGGATAGGGAACTCACTCCCTCTGGCCTAGCCTGGGAAAACACTCATTGTTAGCTAGAATGTGCTGGAAACATCCCTCCTTGGTCCTAGTTCTGCCCCGCTCCTCTGCTCAAGAGTCTGGGATTATTGCGGATGTGCTCATGGGTCCTCTCCCCAACCTATCAAGGCCCCAGATCCTAGACCAGGCCTCCCACCCTCCTGCACCCCACACCAACCTCAGCTGCAAAGGAGGGTATAAAGGAGATAGGCATAGAGGCTGGCATAGGGTCCATGAAACTGAAAAAGGCTCACAGGGGCAGGAGCAGCCCGCCCCAGAGCCCAGGGCCCTGCCAGTTCTGACGCCAGCCCAGGCTCTGCCACACTTGGCCTCCCCAGCCCCTGGCGTTCCACACTGGACCAAGACATGGTTCCTGGGTTTCCTCCTCTTTATTCCTTTCCCACCTCGGTGAGGTGAGGTGAGGGTGGGGGTTGTGGGTATGGCCACAGGTGGGCGCTATTCCTCCTCCATGGCAAAGGTGAACGGGCTCAGCTTGTAGCCAGTGCCTGAGTAGAACTTGTTCTGGAACTCCACCCTGGGGGTGAGAGGAGAGCTGGTGAGGGGAAGCCCCCCTCACCACGTGCTGCCCGGGCCAGCAGGTGGGCAGCTCACCAGTGCAGCCGCAGCGCGTGCAGGAAGGCTGAGAGCCCCTCCATCACCAGCAGGATGGCCACGGTCAACACGGCGAAGGCGGCAAAGATGGGGACCAGCACCACGGCCGCCACGCCCATCTTGCGGCCCATGCTCAGGCCCTCACGCATCACCATGGCCCACAGGACCTCCGACAGCTCTGTGGGCGAAGGGGGGGCAGTGGGGACCAGGGGTGTGGGGATGCCCACCCAGCCCCCTGGACAGCCTGAAGGCCCCCTTCCCTATGGGGCCAGTGGGCGGCCTCCTCCAACAACCCCACTTTACAGAAAGTGATACTGAGGCCCAGAGAAGTGACCCGCCCAGGCCCCCCAGCCAGCAGCTGTGTATGTGTGTGTGTGAGATGTAGCCAGGACATGACCTGTGGCCGGCCCACCCACTGCGGCCAGGTCACTCACGGGCGTGGGCCAGGCTCAGGGCCCAGAGACGCAGGTACGAGGCCGTGTTGGAGATGCAGCCCAGGCAGAACTCGATGGTGTGGATGGCCTGGTGCATGAACACCTCGGAGAGGACGAACTGGGGGGGGTGGGCAGAGGTGAGGGGCAAGCCGGGCCGGCAGCCACCCCCCACTCAGGACGGCCCAACGCCTACCTCAGCCTCCTTGTGGTCCCCCGGGCACCCTGCCTTCTCCTCATCAGAGCCCCAGCTGGCCACAGTAGTGTCAGGTGAGTCCAGAAGCCCGGTCTGGTCCTCATCCTGGGGGTGGGGAGCAGGCAGCATCAGCAGGCTCCAGCCCCACGTGGGGCCCACACCGCCCGTTAACTGCCGCTCACAGCCACCCGGGAGCCCGCGAGGAAGCGAGGGTGCGGTCAGAGCCTGGCAGCGGCCCCACCTCCCGGACAGCCCTCCCGCCGCATGCCCCCGGCCTCTACCGGCTGTCGGCCGGCCAGCCTCTTCCGCGAGTGGCGGCGGTGCTGCCTGCACAGGAACAAGGGCGTGCCGAGCAGCAGGACGGGCACCATGGCCAGGGCCAGGACCACCAAAACGGACTGCACCACCTCCTGCAGGGCAGGGATGAGAGTCGGGGCCCCTGCGAGCCGCACACCGGCGCGGGCCACACGACTCACCGGGGCCCAGGGAGCCAGCAGCCCACTTCTCCCCCAGGGCCCCTCACTAAGCAGGGACATCACCCTGTATGAAATCTTTCTGGCGGAGAAGGGGCCCCAGGCTTCCAGCTCCCACTGTGTGCCACCCCCGCTGGGAGCTTCGCACTGTCCCCCGACCTCCCTCTCACGGCCTCAGGCCTGTATCCCGTTTCTCAAATGAGGATCCTGCAGCTCCGAGTGGCCCGGTGACCAGAGGACCCCATGAGGAGGTAAGAGCCCGCTCCCCTGCCCCGTCCCACCTGCCCGTGGAAGAGTGGCCGGTTGGTGGGGCTTCGGGAGAAGAGGAACATGTTGATGAAGTGGATGAGGATGCTGGGGGCCGAGGCGGCGCTGGCAGCCGTGACGCACAGCCACTTGTAGACGATCAGGAAGACAAGGTAGCCGAAGAGCGCCAGCAGAAAGACCAGCTCGGGCAGGGTCTCCAGCAGCAGCCGGTACGGCTGGGCAAAGTGCCTGGGGTGGGAGGAGG